GGGCTGATTCAGACAAGAGCGAGGTGGGCAGATCATTGTCTCTGCACTTGTTGGACTCATTATAAGGCAGTTTCCTATGTAAATGCAGTGTTGGCCTAGCACTGCGTAAGGATGCAGTCCTAATCCTACTTATATAGGGGTAAGCCCCATTGATTTCAATCTCACCCTACTTTGCGTTTTACTTTGTAGATGCTGTTTGGTTCTCAGTCAAATGAGTTGGTTGCTGGATTCGCGAGTTGCTTTGAAAGTAATAAAGGCTACATTAATTACAGCTTCTTAATTATTTCTTTGAACAATATAATTCTATTTCATTGAATACACAACTCATATAAATTATCCCAGGTACAAGGTGCATCTTGCTTTGCAAAGGCAAGAAGAAAAATCTTAAGGTTGAATTTCAGTTTGTATATGATCCAAGTCATGAAGAATTTGAGGAGATATAATGATGTATCAGTTAGCATTTCTAAACTTTACTGTTGTTCCAAGAGGATGTACATAATGATTACAATCCAGAATGGTTGCGCACAAAAACACAAGAAGCTGCCTTATACCAAGTCAGACCATATTCTATCTAGCTCAGTGTTACCAACACTGACCAGCAACTCAGGGTTTCATATGGGGGTCTCTCCCAGTCTTAATTGGAGGTGTTGGGGACTGAACCTAAGAGGGAACTTCTGCATGCACAGCAGATGCTCTACCACTGAACTACTGAGCTGCTGGGGCACTCATGTAGAAATGATAAATTATATTAGCTGATGCTCTGCTAATATTTCCGTTCAATGTGTGAAACCACTGGCTGGTATCCGTTGGCCTCAGGTCTATGCAGACTCCTAAGGACTGGACTTGTTGTTCTTTAGTTGTTTAGACCACTAAACTTGAGCAAATATGGTATCAGTATAAAACAATACAAACAGAACAAATAATGCAAATTAAACAGAGTTCCCCCAAAGAAATCTGTGAGTCAACCCATTCTTCTAGGGAACAGAGACAGGAGTTTTTAGCATCTGATGAAATGTGTATAATGTTGAGGCCTGTCTAACTTCAATAGACAGCGTATATGTGGATGATACTTTCTGGTTGTTTTTGGATTCTTGTTCATGTTGTGCTTGGTTTATTCATATTATTTCTTTTTAGCAAACAACAACAATGGCCACAAAACGAACAATGGCCGCTTGGTTTGCCTTGCTCGGAGCCACAGTGCTTTCCGCTGACCAAAATGCTCAGCACTATTGAGTGCTTTGTTTCTTGTAGCATCTTCCCCATTGCCAGCCTTGACATTTATTCCTCCCTCACAAACATTAATGGGAGATGCCTTGAGCAGCCTGTTATATTTAAAATCCTTCAATCAACTGGTTTCCTGAATGCATTTCAGCAACTGAGGAGGTCAGAGATGTGTTGAGTTGAAGTAAAAAGTATGGGGAAGCAGGAAGTGAGAGTGAAGTCATTATCGGAATCATTTGCAAGCACTATGGAAACATCTTCCACCTGAGTTATTTTTGTGCATCTGTTTTAAGAGTGGCTTACATTTAGCCAGTCTAAAGTTGCCGTTGATTTAATTACAAATTAACTTGTCAATGCAAGTTTCCTCCATGGGCTGCGGGCTGAATCCACCAAAGATTATGGAATACTGCCAGCAGAACCTGACTCTTCATGCTCAATGGTTCATAAAATCATAGAATCATAGAGTTGGAAGAGACCACAAGGGCCATCGAGTCCAGCCCCCTGCCAAGCAGGAAACACCATCAGAGCACTCCTGACATATGGTTGTCAAGCCTCTGCTTAAAGACCTCCAAAGAAGGAGACTCCACCACACTCCTTGGCAGCAAATTCCACTGTCGAACAGCTCTTACTGTCAGGAAGTTCTTCCTAATGTTTAGGTGGAATCTTCTTTCTTGTAGTTTGGATCCATTGCTCCGTGTCCGCTTCTCTGGAGCAGCAGAAAACAACCTTTCTCCCTCCTCTATGTGACATCCTTTTATATATTTGAACATGGCTATCATATCACCCCTTAACCTCCTCTTCTCCAGGCTAAACATGCCCAGCTCCCTTAGCCGTTCCTCATAAGGCATCGTTTCCAGGCCTTTGACCATTTTGGTTGCCCTCCTCTGGACACGTTCCAGTTTGTCAGTGTCCTTCTTGAACTGTGGTGCCCAGAACTGGACACAGTGCTCCAGGTGAGGTTCTTATGCCACTGTGCAGAGAATGCCCGATCCCATCCCTATGTGTGGCATTCTTTGGGTTGCTATGGGCCACGGAAACCATAGAAGCAGATTCTATAACATAATGGATGGAGGGACAGGCATTTACCAGCAACAAAGCCACACTTTAGTTGCCCTTGGTTCATATTTCTGCTTCCGATGTTGCCATATGAACCAAATCCCAGAATCAGACTGCCCATGGAAACAGGTCTTTTTAATGGCACCTTTCACATGGGTGTACTGTGCCTGAAGGATGTTACTCAACCTTGACTGAAATCAGTACAAATATTTAAGAAATCTACTGATGGCATAATTTGCCTTCACAGCAAATTAAATTATGCAACTAAAAAATGCAGATGTATTTAATTAGTGTTATTTATTCTAATATGGTTGGTTTTTGCACACATCTCTGCTCATAGACTGCCAGTATATATTAGCAGAATAGGTAGCATGTAAAGGATTCTGCCCAATTTTCATTTTGACTATCAGAGAGTTGTCAGTTGTTATGTGCTAATCTGTTAGTTCTGCCTGCACAGCCTGAAGTGGTTCAGTCCAAGCTTTACCACTGGATTCTGAGGTAAATGAGCTCACATCCATAAATTCTGTAACTAAGAGTATAGAATGCATATCAGCCTGTCTGGCTGGAATGTCTCTAGCTGACAGACACAAATGCTTAAGTTAAAGTGAAAGACAGCTCAGAAATGGGTAGCACTGTTCATATGGAAGTATTTGGTTGGGTTGTTCTGCTATTATAATCCACTTCCTTCTAGTAATTTGGAGTCTTGTTGACAATCCAATTTATTGAGTAATTTGTGACACGGTCCACATCCGTTTGGGCTTCATTCTTTCTGTCTAATATCTCTTGTAACCCTAATCCAGCCAATAGGTTTTCCCCAGGGTTTTGATTCATGAAGCAAAAGGTGATTGATGGTGTCTGCTGAGCTATTCTTATGTACAGTGCAAATTTATTATACTGCCGATTGGTGTACAAGGGAAACATTACATTCTCTGTCACCTTGTAAAGGTCTCACCACCCTCTCCCAGCTCAAACAAATTTGCCAAGCCTAAACAAATCCCCTTCAGCAAGAACATGACTTACAGGGCTAGATCTGTTGAATTAAGCGCTCGTTTTTGTGCAACAAGAGATGCCATGTATCGAAGAGCCTAGCAGGTAGAGGTAATAGTTCTTTAAATAAAACCACTGGCCTGCTTACAAAAATGCTTACTGTCTAGCATTTACATTGTTCTGAATACAATGGTACCTTCTTAAAATAAATTCCTGTAAAGCTACAGAGCTGGTAAAATATTTCTGCTGTGCAACGTGGGAAACAGGCTCATAAAATTTTATGTGGAAAAAATGGTGAGGTGAGACCCTTTTCATTTCTATGTATACCATATGGATAGATATACAGTATATCTAAATATTTATGGGAAGTTATACTACCTGTTCGGCAATAGCAAAGATCTGATCTGCCAGGGGTTACTGGGCAGAATAACACACAAACTGAGGAAATGTGAATGTTTAAACATGAAGGATTGAGGAGTTGTCACGTCTTCCATTTGCAAAGGCCTTCCTAAATGTGTACCCACCCATATACTTGAGATACGCAATTGAGGTGCATATAATGAGGGTTCTAAATCTAAACCATGAGTCCAGGGGGCTCCCTACTGCAGACAGTTACCCTTCAACTTGTGGAGCTTGAAATGGGCATTTTCCCAAATAATGTTTTACCATAAAGTCAATACTTCTTTTAAAAAGACAATGCCATTCATTAATCTCTACTGGTTTTCAGTATGGCCTATGTTGTCTGGCTATTGCTATGAAGCAGTTTGATCAGGGCTGTGTGGCTATGAGGTGTGTTGAGGCCATCACCTCAGGGTGGCAGGTTCCAGACAGCTGGGATGGGTGCTGCCACCATGCATCCACTACCACTCACCCACTGCCCACCCACCTACCACCTGCTTTTCTCTGGCTCCTTTTATTCCCTTGGAATAATGGTGGCTGTGGAGTAAGAGGTGGATTCAGCATTTTCAGTTTGGGCTGGAGTGGCAAAATGTCCTGGGCCAGCCGTGGCTTTGATTTTTATTCTGTTTTTATTTTTATTTAATATGATCTATTTCAATGAATGTTAGTTTTAGCACTCACTCCTGACTAGATGGAAAGGGTAGTCCAAAAATTGTGCAAATAAGTAAATAAGTTTCGGGCTGCTAATCTTCATGTAATTTTGAGTTATCATGCCATTCCCAGCAAACACAGCAATCAACACAAAAGCTCTTCTGAAATTATGTGAGCCGCAATCATGAGATATGTCCTAGAACAATTCTCTCTCTCTCTCTCTCTCTCTCTCTCTCTCTCTCTCTCTCACACACACACACACACACACACACGTACACACTGTAAGTCAACCACTTTCCAACCACTTTGGAATCCTTAGATTCCAAAATTACATTTGTTTTACAGGTCTTCCAAAAATGTTTTAATGAAAATTAGCCTCAAGGGAAGGATGTTCTCCACTGCTTGTTCCTCCTGAGTTCCTTCACAGGAAAAAAAAGTCCCTTAAAATTAATACTCCTCCCCAGATGCAAATACACTTGGCCAGCCCCTGACAGAGTAAAAAAAACAACCCCATCTATTTACCTATGCACCTGCTAAAAATCTCTGAAGCCCCACCTCTTAGGAAACTTGTGAAACAATCTGGGAACTGAGCCAAAGTCCACACTCTTGCTATATAAGAGTCATCAAAAGACAGGTGCCTCCTCAGAAGCCTGTCGTTCGGTACCTGTTGCCGAATCCCGGCCAAGATGGGGACAGGCAGGGGGGCAAGGATACCACTATGGATACCAATGCTAGTGATCGCCTTAACATGCCAAAAAGGTAGGAAATTTTAACAGAACTTCATTCCCTGGGCAACAGCTAGTGCCTGCTTTCTCCATGGTCCGAAGGACTTTACAGTGATTTTGTTTGCTTTGCCTCATTAAATCTAATCAGGACTTTAAACATATTTGCCCTGTATTTTCCTATCACCATTCTAAAGACAATATGCTCAGGTTTCAGGGATATAAAATTCACTGCCCCAGTGCCCCGAGGCAGTCGTTTGGTAGATCAATAGGCCATGATCAGTAAGTAGATCAGCCTCAGTATAAAAGCCATTAAAAATTGGTTTCATCTTTTATGCTCAGACACTGATTGATTGATTTTTACTAGTACGAATGAGGTTTGTAAAATGTGATTGTCGAAAGGAGCAAACCTGGCAGGTTAATAAGGCAAAGAGAGAATTGTATATATTATTTGTAAAACCATATCACTGCATCATTAAGCCTTTTGAAGTCAGTAGCAAAACTCTTGCTGACTTTGATGAACTCAGTTCCAGTTTAAATCCAGTTATGTTTGAGATCAGCCATACAGAAAGGGGTACCAGAATAGGACTTTGTGTCAGTGGAGCATTTTTCAGTAGCCTTCCATGGAATCAAAGTATTCTGAAATAAGGGACATACCATTGTGATCCATGGAACTAAAATGCTCTGCGAAAATGAGACAATACTTTTAAGGGAAACACAGGTTTGAAAGCTTCTTTCCTTCTATCAGCATCTTCGATAGAGAACAATTTCAAGAGTCAACCAGTTCCATTCACATTTTCTTTCTGAGCCTAGAGCAAAAATGGATGCAAACTCTAGGTTCTGAAAATAGCACAATACATAGCTATTTGAAAACTAAACCAGCCAAGCCCAGAGCCAGTTATTTCCTCAGCAGTGCATCCACAGAGAGTGTTCTTGAGTTAATGACTTCTCTCTCTTCCCCTTCAATTGCAAATGTGTATTGAAACAGGATGGTTTCCACTTACAGCTACAATCTTCTATGTGGGCATCAGTAAATACAGTGAATACTTCACCACAGGACAGCTGGTGTAGGCTACATGGAATGAACTGCATCACTATCATTACAAATCTGCCTTATTTAAGATCTCCTACTCATTTATACTGAAGAAATAGCATAGAATTCAGGACAGCTGTTTCAGGGAGAATAGCACATGATTTGTATGCAAGTAAGGGAAAGTTTGTTGGGGGTTTTTTTGGGGGGGGGTAAAGGTGGGTGGTCTAGAAGAGGAAGCTGCCCAAGGCTGATTCAACTGGTTCATGTTTTGGTATGGTTTTGCATACCAACAACAAGAAGCTACACTGTGGCAAAAATTGTGCAAATAGGTTTTGGAGTTCAGTCAATTGTCAGTTTCCACACAGGATTTTCAAAGGTTTAATGACCAATCCAACTCCCATCAAAGTCATCACCTGGCTTAGGGTGGCGATAGATGCAAAGCTCAGTTAAAATGTCAACTTGGGATGCTGCAGCAGTTGAAGGGCAAAATCCCCCTTAGGGTTTTGTTATGAAAGGGATTGGAAATAGAATAGGCAATGTGTCATAATGGGTTAGATCCAGACTAAGTTAATCATGCTTTATTCTTTCAAATCAATGGGGTAAAGTTCCTCTGGACCAATATAAGCCCCATTCAGTGGGTCTGCTCCACTAAGTCTCTTGATCCACACCAGTGTCTTTATATAAGTCTGTGGTGTACTTGCACTTGAAAGGACCTATCCACACTTATCTTGTTCTACCACTTTCCTCTGGGGAAACTAGCTTCTTACAACTGAATCACAGCAAATGTCAACTGGATTTTCCATGAATTGATGATTGCTCTGTTTCAGTGGGAAAGAGCAGGTTTTCCTAGGGAAAGCAGTCTGGCAAGTGGAAAACTCCTGAGACTCATGCTTTCTAGGCATGGGACAAGGGGAAGTGTGGGTGAAGGTGAATTCTGCACAGTTCTGGCCACCTTATCTCAATAACTGGGCAAGGTCAGTTCAAGGGATTAATGGGTTGGAGCAGTTTCCCACTCAGGAAACGTGAGCTCAGAAAAGAAGAGGGCTTTTTTCTTCAGAAAAGAAAGGTAACTAAAGGGTGAATTCTAGAGATTGACAAAAGCATGGATTGTGTTGAGAAAGTGGACACAGAGAGGTATTTTCTCCCTCTCTCATGCCAGAACAGGGAGTTACCCAACGAAACTGATTAGCACTTGATTCAGGATAGATAAGAGAAAGTCCTTCATCACTTTACACACATTTATGGAATTTGATGCTGCAAGATGAAGGCATCTCTTAGGTGACTTTGAAAGAAGAGCAGAAAACCAGTCAGGGAGAGCAGGTTGTTAACCATAATAATTAAGTGGAACCTCCATGTTCATGCAGTACAAATCTGAATAGAGTATCAGTTGTGTGGCGTGAGGGGGAGAGTGGGAAAGGTCTGCTGCCTTGATACTCTGCTTCTGCTGGGAAGGGTCAGAGCTCAGTGGTAAAGCACATGCTTTGTCCAGTGGAGTGAACTCTCTAACAACTGAAAGCATCTGATGCTTTACAAATGGGAAAGCCACAGATAATCGTAGAATCATAGACCTGTAGACTTGAAAGGAACCCTGAGGGTCATCTAGTCCAACCCCTTGCAATGCAGAAATCTCAACTAAAGCATCCCTGCCAGATGGCCATCCAACCTCTGCCTAAAAACCTCCCATGAAGAAGAATCCACAACTTTATGAGGGAGTCTGTTCCTCTGTTGAATAGCTCTTACTATCAGAAGGTTCTTACTGATGTTTAGCCAGAATCTCCTTTCTTGTAACCTGAAGCCATTGGTTCAGGTCCTACTTTCCAGAGCAGGGGAAAACAAGCTTGGTCCATCTTCCATGTGACAGCCCTTTAGATACTTGAAGAAGGCTATTATCCTTCCTCTCAGCCTGCTCATTCCCAAGCTAAACATACCCAATTCCCTCAACCATTTCTCATCAGGCTTTGTTAATCTTGGTTGCCCTCCTCTGCATAGCTTTCAGCTTTCCAATATCCTCCTTAAATTGAGATGCCCAGAACTGGACACAAGACTCCAGGTGTGGTCTGACCAAGGTGGAACAGAGCAGTACTATTACTTCTCTTGTTCAGGACACTATACTTGTGTTGATGCAACCTAGAATAGCATTGGTCTTTTTCTTTTCTTTTTTTTACTGCTGCATCACACTGTTGACTCATGCTAAGCTTGTGGTCTACTAAGACCCCTAGATCCTTTTCACATGTACTATTAGTAAGCCTGGTGTCCCCCATCTTAAATTTGTGCAGCTGGTTCTTCCTGCCTAAGTGTAGAACCTGACATTTGTCTCTATTGAAATTCATTTTTCTAGCATGAGATCAAATCTGTGGGTCTGCCTACTTGTAAGTGAGCCTGCCTGTGTGCTGAGACACCCATGCACAATATGCCTCCATGGTTTGAAGCAAAGGACAGGTCTTTTAAAATACTGATGCTTAGACTTCAGAGTGCCCTTTCCTGAGAATTTCACATAGCCCCTTCCATTCTTGGTTTCAGACAGCATGCTAAAAGCAACTTTGTTTAGCTGGGCTTTTGAAAGAGGAAGGGAATGGCTTTAGGAGACTGGTTGATGATTTGAAAATTGTATTTTGAGCTGATGCCAGTTCCCCCACCTATGATGTTTTGTATGTAGTTTTGCTTGTTAGCTGTTAAGTTGATGGGCCAGGAAAAAATATTTTTAATGAAGAAATGAATTAAAGTTTGGTCAAATCCTGTGCCATTGCCTTTTGCTAGTTAGCAGAATTGTTGCAGTCCCTTTCTCACTGTTTTAACTGTTGCCACAGTCAACACCCAGGTTGAGCAATCCCAGTATGAAGACCAGCAATCCCAGTATGAAGACCAGCAGTATGATCAACAGCAGCAGCAGTCAAATTACGACTATCCATCTGTGCAGCCGACACATGATGACAGTAGGTGTTTCTAACTTCATTTGGACTCCAGCGCTAGCCAGATATGCTTGCAATTGCCAAGCCATAATTATTTCCATCTTTCCCATATTCTTGGTCTCTGCTTTAAATTCCTACATAGTTTTGCATCCCAGCCTCTTAGTAGGCAGAGATGAGGCAATACTGAAGCTAAAGGTTTTCTGCTTTAGCTCACAAAGTGATTGCTTGCACACCCCTCTGAGTTGCACCTGTTCCTTTTTGCTCTGAAAATGAAAACTGAGCTCCTCAAGCTATTAATTTGTTATCTTTGGGAACATGTAGGGTGTTAAGGCTTGATTCTTAGATAGTGTACAGTGGATAAAGTTTTGTTTATCTTGAGATTATGCTAATTTCCATCAGTCAAAGAGCAAGCAAACACCCTCATGCGAGGCAGGTATCTAATCTAGAACTATGTTTGTATTGCATAGGTGTTTGCGCAGCACACAAATATATTACGTGTGAGCATGGGTGTACACCCATGTGGTACACCCATGATAGTGGGACATTTAAATACATCCCTTTGTGCTTAGAAGTTCTAAACTGCATCACTCCCAACTGGGACAGGTCCAGCATATCTGCATAGTAATTTTATCATTTTGGAAATGCCTAAGAATGTTAGATTGTGTTTTTGAATAATTAGAGAAAGCTGTTTGCATGGCTCACCGGCTAGATCACCTTCGCTTCTACAATAAATTGCACATTGTCCATTTTACATAATATGCTTAAAAACTGGCTCCCTTTTAGCTAAAGTAAGAATGACAGCTTGAACAGAACTGACAGGGAGAAGCCAAAGTTAAAGAGATTCAGAAAGGAACACAGCCCATGACCCAGCCAAAGTCAAACACTGCAATATAATAACAATAATACTGTAATTTATTATTTATACCCTGCCCATGTGGCTGAGTCTCCCCAGCCACTCTGGGTGGCTTTCAATTGAGTGTTAAAAACAATACAAAGCCCCTTTAAATTCAATGGAAGAGTTAAATGTGCTGTTGAACACTGGCTTTTATCACTTTGTGCAATTTACAAATTTATCTGTTCTGAGAAATAGGTGATTATCTCTTGCTTTGCCTTAATCTAACATTAATTGGGTTTCACACTCTGTGCAATCTACAAACTATGGGGAATAGCCAACGAAGTCAGAGTAGACCCTCTGAAATTTATGGACTTAATTACTTACATCAATTTATTTTGATGAGTCATCTCTGAGTATGACTAACTTTGGATATTGCCCAGTTAAACAGAATTAAAGAATTCTTAGGTAAATTTTTTTGACACAAGTTATGCAAATGATAACCAAAGTGGTTCTTAAAATAAACTATGGTATTCATTTCATATACCGTATTCTATTTATGGTAGGAGCTATAAAAGATCAGGACTATTCACATTTTGAATCATCCAAGATACACGGAGTTAGTTTTGTATTGCTTTTAAAGGCAGGCTAAGTCTTGCACTAAGTAATTTTTTTATATAACTTTTCTGCATCTCATTATCTTTTATATTTTTGCAAAAAAACCAAAAACAAACAACAACACAGAAAAGAGGGACTTTCTGGGGGAACTGTAGAAAGCTTTATGTTTCAAACTGTAGAAATTCTTACATAAAAAACTGCATATGACTGGTCCCTCAGTCCCACATAAACTACAAGTGTTGGTAAATTCTAGTGGGAAGGGAGGAAACCCGCTATTTCCTCCTCTCTTCTTGTATGTTGCAATAGCCCTTGTGTTGAACAGAATCTATGTTTTTACTGCAAAGGGGCAAGCACTGATGTAGGAATATCTGGAAGTAATTCCTGAATCATGGCTAGCCCATAATGAGATTTCAGAAATGATAAAAGAGGCTAAGACAAGGAGAACCTACTGGATCAGGTCAATGGCCCATCTAGTCCAGCATCCTCTTCTCACAGTGGCCACCCAGATGCCTGAGGGAAACCCTCAAATGCTGATATCCTTTCCTTTCACACCAGGTTTAATGAACTGCTACTTCAGTGTAGCAACACAGAACGGCTATAATTGCACACACAGTTAAACCATGGTTTCTTTAAACCATGGCTAGGTTAACAAACCACAACATATCATCTTATAGACAAGTAAGCAAGCCACAGTTTATTTTCCCAAAGTATGTTTTGTTTCTAGCCTTCTGCCTCTGTAACTTGGCAATTGTCTCAGGCAGGATGGCCAAATGAACCAAGGTAAAGCAGCAAGGCTGCTGGGTTTGGACAAAATGTCAAACCTTTGTTAAAATAAGCCATGGCTGAAAAGCCAACAACAAACCATGGTGTGCCATAGTTTGTGACCAGAAAACAAACCATGCTTAATCTGTTTGACTACAGCTTTGAATATTCAAACAAACAACTCTGATTCAACATATGATGGCTTCATGTTACATGTAATCCAGACCAAGACCATGCTATTATAGATGCTGCTGTTTGTTATGCCTAGATACATCCAGCGCAAATCTCTTTGTATGCAAGTTCAGAAACAAGATATTCCATAAAACATAATCACATTTTGTTTGAGCCAAACACAGTGAAAGGATTTAATCCCTCTCACGTTGCTCACAGTGTATGTGATGCCCTTTCACAAAGCAAAGGGAAAGCAATTAATTTACAATGTGACTAGTTTTACCTGGAAGAGGCTGGTATCATATTCAAGTTACCGTATGCTCCACATGAGAAAAGCCTCATTACATAAGTAAAGTTGGCACCATTTTGGTTATTTTGACAAGTTGTATTTGGTGCCAATTCTGACAGAACACTTTTGACATTTTATTTCTGCAGAAAGTGGTAGGTAGTGTCACACCAATACTTTCCTCATGTGCATATCTGAACACTTAGTTAAGAAAAAAAATTTTAAGCAGACATTTTGTGCCTACTTACTTGAGAAGAAATCTCAGTAAACTCACTGGGGAATCACTTTCAGGTAAACTATGCACAGAACTGGGCTATCAGTATGACAAATCTCAGGATTTCATCACCAGCCACATGGCCTCTACCTTAGAATCCTTTAATAGCTCACTAGAATTTGCATTTAAAAGCCACACTATCCAGAATAGAAAGGGGGGGGGATTGAGAATCATAGTTGAACTCTCATTGCCCCAGCCATCAAGGCCAACAGTAAGAGATTGTGGAAGTTGTAGTTCAGAAGGTCTGGAGAGTGCCAGGCAGGGGGAAGCTGCATTAGAGCTTTATTCATCAAATGGATTTGGAGATATCTCTCTATTATTTCATTATGGAAATGCTGGTACAAGCTGTAATCATATTTATTTCCATCAGCTTTTGTCAAACCATCTCGTAGTCCTCCTGTCACCATCATCCCTCCCATGAGAACAACTCTGGCTGTGAAAGGTAAGTGAACCACAAACCACATTCTTGTGTTTTAGACAATAATCTTCCACTCACTGGGTGAACTTCAACAAATGAGTCCTATCAGTGGCAGCCCTATGCAAGGACTTCCACTTGTGCAATGGGGCTCTTCCCCCGCTCCTCTTCCCCATCTCCCCTGTGTCCTCCCCCACCGCCATTGGCTCTGGCGAGTTGGGAGAGTGCCCAAATTGGGGTTGGGGAGGTGGGGTGGAAGAGAGGGGGGTTATTCCATATGGCAAGCTGAAATGCTTTCCTTGACGGAACTATTCCATTAGCAAGAAGTTGGATTCCTCCCACTGATTCAAGTTCCATTCCATTTACTTCAAAGGTTCTTTAGCAGCTGTATTCCAGAAAGGAAGATTGCAAAACTGAACCTTAGTATCATATCGGTTAGAAATGGACTAGGGAGAAACAAAGGAAAGGGAAACAACCCATGGGCTTCCCTTCAAGATCAAACAACAGATCAAGAGCAAATAAAAGAATATCATGTGTCCATATTTTATAGAAATGTAGATTTTGAAGATAAACTGAGGAGGATTCTTGGATGAATGGATAGGTGGGTGGGTGGGTGAGCGAAGGATTTGGGTAGAACCTTACAGATTATTTTGAATCCACAGCCGGAAACTCTGCTCACAATGGGAGAGTGTGTAGCACATGGGGCAACTTCCATTTCAAGACCTTTGATGGGGACATCTACCATTTCCCTGGCACCTGCAACTACGTCTTTTCCTCCCACTGCAAATCTGATTATGAAGACTTCAACATCCAAATAAGGCGCTCTGTGGTTGAGAATGCTGCCATTATCAGCCATATCATCATAAAAATTGATGGAGCAGCCATTGAACTGACGCCACACTCCATTACTGTCAATGCAGAACAGTAAGTTCAGTTACTTTACTAACGTCCTTATTAATGCCATTGGGGCCAACAACACAGAGTGGCTGTGTGGTACAGGAGCGAACAGCTATGCATAGTCCAAGGTGGGTTATAAATGCCACAGCTTTTATTGGTTGTAGCTGTAGTTCACAGGCTCCAGTGTTTTCAGAGAGCAACGATCCTATCATCAGGCACCTAAAGTGCTGGAATAAGGCTGATTTATAAGTGAAAGTGTTAAGTGAAAAGTGTCTTTGCATGAGAATAGTCATGGTTAGACTTGGGCCACATCAGTCTTCAAGTCATATAAGAATGGGGTAGTTTCATATGCTTGAACCATGTGTCTGTTTATATTGAAGGGATGCCATGAATGTTCTTAAAAAGATGAATTAGGTTTTTGTCAACGAGAGGTTTTCTATTTGCCACCTTCAGTTGCAATTTGCTTTATCTCCAGCGTCCAGCTGCCCTACAGCCACTTGGGAATCTTGATGGAGACAGTCTCAGGTTACCTGAAAATTGTTTCCAAGCTAGGCTTGGTGATCATGTGGAACCAAGAGGATGGCCTTCTGGTAAGAATATGAATGCTCAATATGCTGTTTTGTAACGAACAACCATGACACTATTTATCATGTGTTTGTTAGCAAGTAAGTGGTGATTAAAAGTATTTGCAGTTTAGATGTGATGCCCTCCATTTCGTTTTGAAATTAGGAAAAAACAAATTTGCCTGTATTCGGCATCGAAGATTACCTAATGCAAGATTACCTTCTTCTTAGTAAAGAGGGGGGAAACAAGATTAAAACTGTTGCTAAAAATTAATCGCTTTTCTCATGTAATCAGCATTCCTGAGTGCATATCTTTTAGAGAAAGGTCTTGAGCTGCACAGTTTAAAAGCACAAGCACAATCCCGCACTTGAATTCATACTATTTTAAAAGTGAAATGTAAAGATAGCTATAACTCTTGAGATTTTTTTAAAAAGGGGTTTGTTTGTTTTTGTTTCAGTTTACTCATGAGTGACTTCATAAGTCATGCCTGATATTGTGAACCAGAATGATTATTCAGTATATCCCTTTGGTCTCTTGAGCTCTTGGATCATTTCTTTGGTGGTCTGGTCATTATGTTTCATCATGTTAATATCTTAATTCAGTGGGTTGGATCAAAACTTGAAGGGGCAGAATTGCACTAACCAGACACTCCTACAGGCAGAAGTGATGAGTGTGCTTCCTTTTTTTTTTTTCATTTCCCTCTTCTCTCTTCAGCCCCACATGCCCCCACTCAAATCTGTTCCAGGGGGTTGGGGAGCCTGTCAGACCAACATGGAAGATGATGTGGGGAAGGGTTCAAGGAAGAAGGGGAAACTGTTCTAAGAATAGAGAGTAATCAAAATGAGCCATTCAAAATTAGCTCAGTCAGGTAGTAAATATTTACAAGCTCAATCAGCTTGTAAATATTGGGTTCATCTATACATCAGTTGTTCACCACTCTCATGCAAAACCAGCCATCAGCTCTCATTTTTATTCATCATATTCAACACTCTGTGATTTCACTATACTTATCTCTTGCTTCCCCCATTTGTTTTAGCTTGAACTGAATGAGAAATATGCTAATCAGACTTGTGGACTTTGTGGAGACTTCAATGGAATCTCAACTTTCAATGAATTTGTTTCTAACAGTAAGTATACAACCCCCCCCCCACACAACAACACACACAGGCAGTTCTGTTGTTATTGCTTCTGGAAGTTCATTTGTAAGACGGCAATGTTTATATTGGCAAACACTTGTGAAAGGCTGTGTGGCATTTTAAAAGGACCAAGGCTCGTTTGTTGAAGTGATCTCTTGCAAAAATTGCAGTCTTTGTTTTCCCTGTCTTTCTGTAGCTAATTCTGTAAATGGTCTATTACATCTTTAAAACATGAGTATTTTTTTTTTTAATGTGGGACCGGGGCTCCCAACTTCGAATATACGAACATAGGAAGCTGCCTTATACCATTGGTCCATCTAGCTTAGCTCTGTCTATGCTGGCTGGTGTCAGCTCTCTAAGGTTTCAGACATGGGTCTCCTCTAGTCCTACCAGGAGACACCAGGAATTGAACATGGGGCCTTCTCTATGTAGAACACTTGCTCTACCACTGAGCTATGGCCCTTTCCTGAGTTTGTGTCAAGCAAGGAGAGTAATGATGTAGCAGAGAACATCCTCCTCCAAGTTTCTGACCTGGCTATATCTTGTCTCTCTGACCTATGCCACTACATAGTGCTAGTCTGGGATGCAGGATCTTTCAAGGCAGACGTGGGTAGGATTCCTTCATGGAAGTTTGAAAGAGGGCAGACCTACATTCTGTTTTTGGTCTTATGCACCAACCCATCTGTCCTAAAGGATAACAGCCCATCCAGCAGGGAATTCACCATGGATCTTGAGCAACCTCTGGTTTGATGTGGCCAGGAAGGCATCTTGGTTGGGACTGCCAACAAGATGATGCAGAAAGATGTGGGTGTTTTTACTTTAACCTCATTGACCTTAGTAGGAACTATAGCTGTTAGATGAATCACAACTTGGAATTTGTTAATGCATAGGTATGGGACAAGAATCTGAGCTTTCTTGAGGCAAATGGGTAGGGGTGGGGACTTTTAAAATATATCTTTCTAGTAGTTGACCTGGCTGTCACCTCATGGGCTCAAGCTCTTCCTTCTACATCCATCTGCCAAACTTATCTGGCATAAAGAAAATAAAGATGTGGCCTGTGCCACCCTGGACCAGTAGGGTTGGCTGTACCCTATCTACTCCTGCTCTAACTACAATTTTAGGATGACCATTTTGAAAATAATGCTATTCATACTTATTGCAGACGTCAAACTGAATCCTGTGCAGTTTGGAAACATGCAGAAGATGGATGGACCCACCGAAGAATGCCAAGATCCTGCCCCTTCAGCTGCAAGCAATTGTAGTCAGGAGTTTGTAAGGATTCTTTTTGTTGTACCTTCTTTTTAAGGGAGATCTGATATTTTCTTTCCCTTTGCTTTGTCTTCAGGGAATGCAAAAGACACTGAGACAACGAACTTTTGGAAATAAATGCTAACTTACAAATATCATTGGTTAAAATCAGTAGTAGTTCAATAGCTAACTGGCGCTTTATGAAGCCCATTGATTACACACACTGTCTATTTCCTACTTCCAGAGTACTGTCTGCCAAACAGTATTGACTGGTGAAGCATTCATGGGCTGCAATGCACTGGTTGAAGTACAAGATTACATTGATGCTTGCGTACAAGACTTGTGCAGCTGTGATAAGTCTGCCACTGATTACTGCATTTGCAACACCTTTGCTGAATATTCCCGGCAATGTGCCCATGCTGGTGGACTGCCAATGGAATGGAGGACAGAAGATCTGTGTGGTAAGTATCTCTGAAAGGCACTTCCGCCTCTCTGGGTCAGACTCAATCATAATGTGGGGGGCACTGTTGTAGGCCGTCTAGCCTAATCCTTTGCTTAATACAGAAATCCAGTAAGCCCAGCAGATGGTTGCCCAGCCTCTGCTTAAAGACCTCTAGTGAGAGAGGGAACTCTCCAACCCCATGCAATGGATTCCATTCTTGAATAGAACTTTCCATCAAAAAAGATTCTCCTCCTGTTCCACTGAAGTCTACCCCCTGTAGCTTAAGCCCATTTGATTTAGTCCTGTCCTCTGGGGCAGCAGAAGACAACAATTTTTCCCTGTTTGGTGCAACAGTTCTTCATGTATTAGAAGTGTACTTTCTTGTCTCTGCCTAGTATACATATACCCAGTTTCTTAATTTTCCCCTCACTGGGCTTGTTTTCCATATTCCTGCTTAAAAGAAAAACCTCACCAGAACATAAAACACCATTTGTTTAAAGCAATTTCACCTCAAGAAAACAACCAACACAAAAATTACATAGCGGGTCATCTAATGTTTCTTAATTCATGTCTCCTTTCAGCCAAGACATGCCCTTTCAATATGGTGCACCAGGAATGTGGCTCCCCCTGTTCTAATACTTGTACCAATCCCGAAAGGTCCCAGCTCTGTGAAGATCATTGTACAGATGGCTGCTTTTGTCCACCAGGTAAGTCAACAAACAACATTAGGCTGACAGCAGGGGCTCTGGATATTAATAGCTTTCCATAGAAAACAGCTTCCTCAGTTACAGTTTTAAATGAGATAGTCATGATTGCTATCCTCTGCTATGAAAATTAAGGGTGGTTCTTAAACCCCCCACCCACTTTTGGATTTATTTTGGATCTTGTTTTTTCTATATATCTTTATAGAGTGCTTTTGTGGATAGGCAAATTAAAAATTTAATATATGCACACTTCTTTGCATATTTTAATTTTATTTTTAAAATGTTTTCAATTATTTTATAATACGTCTTGCTGGAAAGGTCATACACTCTTGCAGAAAGGCGAACTAGAAATACATACAATCAAAAAGATTGTTCTTTTTCATTTTTTAAAAAAATGCATGTATTTATTTATTTCATGCTGAAGTGCTGGTGCTATTCTGAGTAACGTTCAGTTTCAGTGGGTGATGCTTAGTTCTAGTATTAGCAGAAAGACGGAAAAAGAAATTCCTGTGAACTTTGCTGAGAGTGAATGACTGGCAAGTTTTATGAGGGCAGGTTGTTCAGTTGGATGGCTCAATGAACTGATCCAGCTTGGTAGCTTGTATGCTCTTAAAACAAAGCAAACCTGGTCAAGAACACACACAGACACACACAGACACACACACACACACACACACACACACACACACACTACTACTACTACTACTACAGGTGTTTAATGTGTGGGAATGTTGAGGGTGGCAGGAAAGGATATATTGATTATTAATATCCTTCCCAACTTGCAATAGCAAGTTTCTTCACTCTGCTAGAGTGCATTCCCCTTCTTACAGAGCAGAAAACTGGTTGCAAACTCATGTGAGTTTCTTAAGACAATAAACAATTCAATCTGGGTTGCCCAGATTGAGATATGTTCTAATATTCCTGATAAGACCCCTTTTGAATCCCTCCTAAAAGAATAAAGACACCACAGTCTTATTCATAAGTAACAAAAAGTAGTTTTACTCATGATCAGGCAGAGCACAGTGTGATCCCTGAAGGCAGGCTTTAGGCTTAAAGTTACACACATGTACAAAGAGGTTTACCTCATATGGGAGATAACAGGGGAACTGCTGTGGCAGCCAGCAGTCCAGTCCAGACAGGGCAAACGGGAAGGTCGAAAAGGGGAAGGTAGCAGCGTGACTTGCCTTTTACCAGGTCTGGAGAGGTCATGCCCACCTACTAGTCACATGCAAGGAAGGATGCTCCAGGCCAGGAAGACAGGAAGTTTTGACTGGCTGAACCAAACATTCCCTTGCATGTCCACTCTAGCAAAACAAGGAATGTTGTACTTGACTGCTCCCAGTGGATTACATCCCACATAATGCAGCTCCCACAATGCCAATTTCTCGAGCTACTGGAAAATGGTAACATGGTAGGTTGCCATCAGGAGTCTGGCATGACAATACCAAAGTCAGTGGAATGGTGGAATGTGCCTCACAGATCTTAAAAACAATGAAACTGATACCTAACCTACCTCCTTATTCTTTTAGGCACTGTGTTCGATGACATAAGCAGCTCTGGTTGCATTGCTGTGAAGGACTGTCACTGTACTTACAATGGAGACACTTATTCTCCTGGAGCTTCTTTTGCATCCCAGTGCACTGCATGGTAAGACACCCACATCTGCTCATTCCTATTGCCTAAAAAATAAATGTGATGGGAATAATGACTCAAGCGTAGAATGTTGTGGTATTAAAAAAAGAATCTCAGTATTGATGTTTACTACTTTAGTGTCAATTGCGTCAAATGCTAAAACACTGCAGCATGGAGCCACATGGATGCTCCCTTGGGTTCCGTGACAGAAGAAAGGTAGACTATAAATGATACGAAACAAAATAAGCTACAAAATACTGAAAAAACACCAACTGACAGGCATCAGATTAATATGAGTGAATTAATATGGCTGAATGTCAAGTACAGGTATCCATATTCAAAGGATATCCTGCTGTTTCTAGGATATCCCTCCAGGTATATTTGACATCAAAATTCACAAAGAAGAGGAGATATTTGAGGATTTTTTTAAGGAGCAGGTTAATGTCATTGTGAAGGAGGAGGTGGAGGAGAAACCCCATTTTTTAAATAAAACAACAACAACCCATTGAATGCATTCATATTGTATATGAAGGAGATGAAGGTTTAAAGAGCCTTTTGTTCAAATATGCGACATCAATCCATTTCTATTCCAAAATTAAATAAAGGGCCCCATTTTGGCAGTGTGTTTTGAAATATGAAGCCTTCAGGAATACACGGGTTATGATTTATTGTTTATTGTTTCAACGTCTTTCAAAAACAGTTATTAACATTGCTATAGCTCATCAAGGAACATTGGATTACCTACAGAAAAGTTGTTCATTAATAAAAGACCACAACCTACAGCAGCACTTAAAGAAAGGGAAATAAGTGTATTAAAATAGCCTAGCTTTAATTATTGTACTTTTCTTTTTTGCTTGTTTTGTTTTCCTTGTGTACACTGTCACCTGATGCACACCACTCTCTTCTCTTCAGTACATGTACTGGAGGCCAGTGGGCCTGTGTCAGCCTTGACTGCCCCGGAATGTGCTCTGTTGAAGGAGGCTCCCACATCTCCACATTTGATGAGAAACGTTATTCGGTCTTTGGGGACTGTAGCTATGTCTTAACTAAGGTAACCAAAAGGCAATATTTAACTTTTGGGGAGGTTTGCAATGGAGAAATCCCCACATGCAGGGATCAAAATGGCTTGGTTAGAATGTCACAGGAAAAAGGTTTGATTTAATTAAGCTATTGACATCAACAGTAATTTTCTGTACACAGGAAACCCCAGCAAAGAGTCCAACATAAAATAAGTACGTTGATGTCAGCAGGCTTTTGCAAAAGTCCCATAGGAAAGAACTGCAGTTGCCATGCTTTGGGGATTTCATATGCAACTGTTCAATTCAGCCTTCCTCAACCTGGATATTTTGGTCAACAACCCCCTTCAGCACCAGCCAGCATGGCCCTGGTCTGGGATGATGAGAGTTGGAATCCAAAAACATCTGGAGGGTACTAGGTTGTGGAAGGCTAGTTTAATTCACTGCTGTTTAAGTATTGCAGTGTATTTCTCAGACTTTGACATGCTTTCGAACTGCTAGGTTGGCTAGTTGGACTTAAAAAAGGTAAAGGTAAAGGTACCCCTGCCCGTACGGGCCAGTCGTGTCCGACTCTGGGGTTGCGTGCTCATCTCGCTTAAGAGGCCGGGAGCCAGCGCTGTCCGAAGACACTTCCGGGTCACGTGGCCAGCGTGACGAAGCTGCTCTGGCGAGCCAGCACCAGCGCAGCGCACGGAAACGCCATTACCTTCCCGCTATAAAGCGGTACCTATTTACCATATCTACTTGCACTTGGGGGTGCTTTCGAACTGCTAGGTGGGCAGGAGCTGGGACCGAACGACGGGAGCTCACCCCGCCGCAGGGATTCGAACCGCCGACCATGCGATCGGCAAGTCCTAGGCACTGAGGTTTTACCCACAGCGCCACCCGCGTCCCATCTAGTTGGACTTAGTTCCCATTAAATTAATGGGACTTGAGCTTAGCCAATACTTAATTTCAATGGGGCTAAAATATGACTAATTTAGTTTACATCCAGTCCAGAAGCTTTCACTTCAAATCAGCACCTCTCCTCAGATTACTTCCTGTATAAAGCCCTAAGCCAGGGATGGGGACCCTGTGGCCTCCGGACAGTCAGAGATGATGGGAGTTGTAGTTCAGCAGCATCTGGAGGTGTTGTTCCAGCAAAACACTGGGAGCCCTTTTACCTCATGAGCCCTCTTGCCCATTAAGATAATGGAGAGGATGCCCTATTCATGTGCTAGCTCCTTGCAATGAAATATCAATGGGAGCAAGGGATAGACCTTTTACAGCACTGGCTCCTATTCTGTGAAACACCCTTCTAAGAGAAATGTCAATTCTATGATCTTCCTTGCCTTTCAAATACAAGGTAAAGTATGCTTGTTTAGGCAAGCTCTTAATCTTCCATAGGAACTTGGCATGATATTTGACTTGCTAAATTATCACGTTTTAGTCTTATTTATATCATACTTTGTTTTTTAAAACATGTTAGCAACGTGTTGTAAAAACGACATTATATTGTTTTAATTGTGGGAAGTTGCCCCATATTGACAACGAAAAGCAGGCTGTCATTATTTTAAATAAACAACCCAGCTAGCTCAAAAGCCATGCGGTAATGGTTATATAAAAAGCCAAGCATTGCATGCTGCCTACACTCTGTGTTCTTCACTTCCAGCTCTGTGACAGTAAGGCCTTCACTGTTCTGGGAGACATTCGAAAATGTGGCCTGACAGACACCGAGACCTGCCTGAAAGGCATCGCCATCAACATAGATGGAGGAGAGACAGTAAGTATGGAAAACAAGGCCAACTATATGCTCAAAAGGGAGATTACACACTGATTTATAGAAGCACTCCTTCCGCCCACAGTGAAACAGCAAATATGTTCAGTCTTATGCAGAATGTGTAGAACTGCTCAGTTTTATCTCCTAGTCTCAATTACTACTCCTAACAATAAACCAACTGACCTGTCCCAATCAGAATGTGAACTTCAGTCCCCTTGTGTGGCCCTCATTTCCCCTCTAGGTTACAGTAAGTCCTTTCACAGTCTAGATTTCATAATATTGCAGGCCCACTGCCCCACAACCTCAAGCCCTCCACCTTTCCTTCCTTGCACATTTTCCTTCTCTTCCCACTTCTTTGTTTCCAATGCTCCTTTCTTCAAGTCTCCTTCCCCATATCTATCCTTTCCTCTGGTTACTGTTTCTTGGCTTAGTGCTCTCTTCCTTCAACTAACTTGCTTCCAGTTTCTCCCTCCCTCCCTTTGCTTCCTTATCTCCTTGTGATTCTTCCCATTCTCCAGACTGCCCCACAAACCTACTCTGATCCATAGAGAGCTGGGTGAGGATTTAATTCCAGTCCCTTCCCTCATAAAAGTTATTCCAGACATTCTAGCAGCTTTGTTTCCTGAGCAGTTGGAGCATTCATGAACAGTTCATTTCCAGCACAATAAACTGGTGTCAGAGGCTTCACTGCTACAGATGCAATACAATGTGGATTTTGTTGGAAGTTTATGTGCATGAGCAGTGTCATCCAAAGTCACAAAGAAACAGGAAAACAAGCGCATATGATATTTTTAACCATACTTGTTCATCATTATCTTTACCTTTCTCCTCTGCCAGGTAGTTGTGATCAAGTCTACTGGGGTCGTGTATGTGAATATGATCCTTTCCCAGCTGCCTATCTCAGCATGTAAGTTCTCCTTTCAGAGATAACACATGACATTCATCATTCTTCACTCTCCTACTCTATTATTGTTCTCAACATGAGGGATACCTTCAGCAAGGCTCTTCTGATGTTCTTAGGATTTTGGACTTTTCTCTTATGCTAGAAGGCCATTTACTAGGGAAAATGGTTAAAATGCTAAGCATAAGCAGTTGTTACCTCATTGTTAAGTATGCAAAATGCACATACCCTCGTGCCCCCCCCTTGTAGCAAATGCCATAGCCATATGAATCATCAGTTGACACCTGATGAAATGTTTGATCCCATTAGTAAACTCATTCTATTCCACTTCGACAGCCAATGTCACCATCTTCAGGCCCTCATCCTTCTTTATCGTTGTGGATACAAAATTCGGCCTCCAGTTACAGATCCAGCTCGTGCCCATCATGCAATTATTTGTACGCTTGGACCCAACCCACAAAGAGCAGACATGTGGTAAGTGAGTCAATTAGTCATTAGTCTCAAGACATAGAGGTGATGTTCACTGAAATCACTGTGATGCTGTATGAAGGATTGCAAGGATTTAAAGTTGAATCCTGACAGGAAAGGTGTACTGTGGAGTGTGGGGGACTCCCTGGTCATGAATGGGGCAACTGTGCCCCTGAAGGAGCAGGTGCACAGCCTGGGAGTCATTTTGGACTCACAGCTGTCCATGGAGGCGCAGGTCAATTCTGTGTCCACGGCAGCAGTCTACCAGCTCCATCTGGAAAGCAGGCTGAGACCCTACCTGCCGCGGACTGTTTCACCAGAGTGGTGCATGCTCTAGTTATCTCCCGCTTGGACTACTGCAACACACTCTACGTGGGGCTACCTTTGAAGGTGACCCGGAAACTACAACTAATCCAGAATGTGGCAGCTAGACTGGTGACTGGGAAGCGGCCGCCGAGACCAAATAACACCGGTTTTGAAAGACCTACATTGGCTCCCAGTACATTTCCGAGCACAATTCAAAGTGTTGGTGCTGACCTTTAACGCCCTAAACAGCCTCGGCCCAGTATACCTGAAGGAGCGTCTCTACCCCCCATCGTCCAGCCCGGACACTAAAGTCCAGCTCTGAGGGCCTTCTGGCGGTTCCCTCACTGTGAGAAGTGAGGTTGCCGGGAACCAGGCAATGGGTCTTCTTGGTAGTGGCACCCGCCCTCTGGAACGCCCTCCCATCAGATGTCAAGGTAATAAACAACTATCTGGCTTTTAGAAGACATCTGAAGGCAACCCTGTATCGGGAAATTTTAAATGTCTAATGTTTTACCATTTTTTATGTGCTGTAAGCCGCCCAGAGTGGTTGGGAAAACCCAGCCAGATGGGCGGAGTATAAATAATAAAATTATTATTGTTGTTGTTGTTATTGTTTTTATTTAAAGTCCCCATGGTTTTGTTCCAGGTCTCTGTGGAAACTTCAACAATGTCCAAGCAGATGACTTCAAAGCTGCCAGTGGAGTAGTAGAAGGAACTTCAGCTGCTTTTGCCAACACGTGGAAAGCACAGGCCAACTGTCCTGACATCAAAAATATTTTCGAGAACCCATGTACTCTCAGCATAGAAAATGGTATGTGCACTGATATTTTGCAGCTTTTCTCATAGGACACTCTTTAACCAACAGCCTAATTAGAAAGACCCTTTAGAATTATTTTTTAAGCAGAAACTCACATTAACTCTATTAACTATTGTACAATAGAAATTGCCCTTGTATAGGGCTGGTAAGGACATAAAGGTCATGTTGACTTTTTTAGCTTTTATATTCCACCCTTCCTTCATGCAGCATCCTAATTCTTCTCCCTCCCATTTTATCCTCACAACAACCCTGTGAGGTAAGCTTGTCTGAGAGAATGTAACTGGTTTTTGGACACCTAGGGATCTTAAAAGCTGGGTGGGTGAGTCCAACACACACTCTCTAAGTCATAGTTTGTTGCTCTATGCCACACTGGCTCTCAGATGACAATGGCTCCCCGTAAGAGAAAAAGGCTTTGTACAGCTGGAACAATCATTGCAGACTATTCCACATTATCCAGATCATGGTGAATTAAGACAGCAGAGAAAAATGGCATGACAGACAAAAGATGACGGGTTAAAGCAGATTATAGGTGACTTGAGCAAGCAAGCACAACTTTATGATGCAGAAGGAAGGCAGAAAGATACAGTTAACAATGAGAGCAAGTTCTAATACAGTATTTTCTCTCATTGACTGGCTGGAATAGGTTCTCGAACTCTGAGAGTGATTCTTACATGCTTGGGTGGTGGATATAGAGGGATGCATGAGTCTGAAGGAACTAGACTATTGTTCAAAGGTGAAGTTTGTAGCTCTGCCCTGCCCACCACTGGCGTAAGGTCCCTGAGAGGCTGCACAGAAGGGAATGTGTTCCTTGGGCTGAAACACATTGCCCATCTCTGCAGTAATATGTATAAAACCACATTGCCCTTTGTCTTGTACAGAAAAATATGCTTCACACTGGTGCGGCCTGCTGACGGACAGCAATGGACCCTTTCAGAAGTGCCACTCTGCAGTAGATCCTACTGTTTTCCACACGGTACTTTGTACATTCTGTTTCTTTGAAGTGCCAATGAGAATCTGAACATAACTCCTGGGGGTGGGAATTAAACCTGTTAGAGTGGATAAACAATGTCAGGGCTTCAGTATACTCTCTGCCAAACTTTCTGTCATTAATGTATATTATCAATCCCCATATCATGTTATCCTACATATTCATTTCTCGCTTCACTACTAAATATAAACATCTCCTCATTCCACTCTGTGTGGTTGGCCATGTAGTTTGCCAACTTCTGAGACAGAGGTTAACATTTAAGCAGCTGGTTCTCAGGAAACTCCCAGGTCCTCTGTAGTTTAAAGCAAGCAGTGTGAAATATAAAGACATATTTTTAGATTAAATTCATAGATGAGTTCTTCATGTAAAGGTTTAAGAGCAAATGTCCCTGAAGGGGAGGGGAGAGTTAATATTAATGGCTATTCTCTGTCTCCCTAGACCTGTATGTTTGATACCTGCAATTGTGAAAGGAGTGAGGACTGTATGTGTGCTGCCCTTTCCTCCTATGTCAGAGCCTGTGCTGCAAAGGGAGTGCTGCTGAGCGGATGGAGAACCAGCATCTGTAGTAAGTTATGAGGATTTTGTAAACCAAAAAGCAAGTGACCAGAGGAGATTGTCAAAGTGTTTCAAATAGAACTCCAAACCATGATTCACCCCAACATTTTTGGATTTTTTTCAGTGTCGCTGAATTATTTTGCAAGTTTTCTTAGTAGTAAGTCTCAATGAAATTAATGGCGCTTACTTTTAAGTATCCAACATGGTGCTAAGTGAATCTCTGTCAGCGCAAGATGGAAAGTTCTTCTCTTTTCTCTCCCCGCCCTGCCTGGACACCCCCTAAATGTGTTCTTGGAGTTCCCCCAACCCTCAAGAACAGGTTTGGGGAGGGTGCAGGGTGCATAATACATAATGTAACAATGCATATTATAACTGATTCTTTTTTAAAAAGAAGAAAGAAACCCAAATGTTTTAAAAAAGTAGTCTTGGCATTTTGGGTTTAAAAATATACTGCAGTTGTTTAGAACACCACTTATTTTTGTGACTTTATTTTTGATGCATCTGCTTCAGCTACTGCATCTCTCAAATAAAATGAGCTGCTAGAGAGAAACATCTGCTCATCTGTAGATGTGTGTTTTTTCCTATAGAAATTCAACTGCTGCCTGCTAGTAAGTGGCAAAGAAGGCAGTTTTTTTTTGTTGGCTGCCATTTTGAATTTCCCCAACTGCACATCAGAACAAGGCCACCTGGTTCAATTTGCTCCCTCTCAAGATAATTTTGATCCCCTCCACAGCCTGAAATACTGATGAATCAAAACAACTCATTTCAAGGAGGTGGTTTTTATGTGGACCCGATCTTTGCCAGTTAGTAGCAGCTGTAGTTTCAAAATTATCCTGGACAAGATTTTGAAGGAATTTGAAGCATCTATGCTTTGTTTGTGTGACAACCCCAAAGTGGTGCCAGTAGTTTCCTGAAAGTCTTAATCTGGTGAGCAGATACAGATGAGGTTTACGGGAGCTGCAGAAAGTTCAGAAGGAAATAAAGTTATTGTTTGCCATGGGGAGGCAAATCACAACCAAAAAACCTTACAGTCTTATGTGAATAATGGAGCATGTGCTAGTTTCTCTCTCTAGTTACACCAAAGAATTATTGACAGCACTGGATTAGAAATTAGGAGTAAAAGACATATTTTTTGGAAAAGATAGAAAAACACACAAACAATCAAATGAGTAGTTTTCAAAGCTGTGATTTAAAGATGAATCTGAAATCACATAGCTTGATTCAAAGGCCAATAAATTACATGGATTAGTCACGTTTTGAACAGGCTCCTTTTCATAAACCCATACAAGATAGTAACTTCCCTTCTGCAAGTTAAATTTAATTCAAGGCACCCAAGCAATCGTTCATACAGTCTTTATGCACAAAGCAGCATACATCACTGTACCCAGAACATCCCATCACACCTGGATGGTGAGGCAGACATCCTAAGTTTCTCCAGCCTCTGGGACCAGAGCCCAGCATCTAGATATACAGATATGCATCTAAACACACATAGCCAATGTTTTTGAGTATACATTGTACCCTGCGACGTCTAGTAATTTATAGCCACAGTAGCTCTTAGGTAACCTCTGGAACAACTTCTTTTCTTTTCCCTCTCTCAAGCCAAATACCAAATGTGTCCCAAAACCCTGGTTTACCGTTACAACATTACTTCCTGCCAACCCACCTGCCGATCTCTGAGTGAGCCTGATGTCACTTGCAACATTAAGTTTACCTCCGTGGATGGATGCACCTGCGAAGAAGGGATGTATATGGATGAGAGCGGCAAATGTGTACCTGCTACCAGCTGCCCCTGCTACTACAAAGGGACTCCTCTACTGTCTGGAGAAGTTATCCATGAAAATGGTGTCATATGGTAAGTGATGGTTTGAAATAAGCATTGTTATGAGGTGATGGGAATAGCCAAAATTTCCTTCCATGGAACCATGCTTCTAAGCTGCCCTTAATTATGATTTTTTAAATTTTGTTTTTTGGAAGATTCAGTCAATTTAATTTTGTAATGTCTGGTGCTTAGATATTAGGTGCCTTTGTGACACATTTCTAAATGCCCCAAAGTTTCTTATTTATGTGAGAAAAATATAGGAGCCCAGCTGGATCAGACCAAAGGCCTGCCTAGTCCAACATCTTATTCTCATAATGGCCAACCAGAAGCCTGTGCAAAGCTCACAAGCAACTTATGAATGCAATAGCAACCCAGCTCGTGCTCATTAGCAACATTATTCAGAGGCAATACTGGAGGCAATATAAAGACATCATGACTAGTAGCTGTGGGTGGCCTTGTCCTCCATGAATTTGTCTAATCCTCTTGTAATGCCTTCCAAGTTGTGAACCATCACTATGTTATCTGGTAATTAATTCCATAGTTTAACTATGCTTTGTGCTTCCCTTTGTCTATCCTATATCTCCCACCATTAAACTATCGCATCTGTTAAAAACGGGCTTTCTAGTAATGGCTAGTGGAGGGTGAGGAGAGAACTTGAGACTGGCAACAGCACCATAGGTGCCCTGTGGATCTCTGAGGTCTGTCCACTCCTGATAAAAATGCCTCAGCCCAGTCCAGATCCACCAAGGAGAAATTCTTAAAGCATTTTAACAGGCTATTTTAAGGGAAACATTTTCCTTTTGGTCACAAGGTGACAATTCAGCATTCCACACCGTGAAGGATTTGTTGTTGCTGTCCTTTAGCCAGGCAAGAACAACTGCTCTTCATAAAACTGGTTCAATTTTTAAGTAAGAAACATTCTTCATCTCTTGCAGCACTTGCACACAGGGAAAGCTTCAGTGCATTGGAGAAGTGAAACCACAACCAGGTAAGTCAAATCACAGAAAAAGATAATAGTAGTTCCAGAGACCTTGTAAAACTGAAATATTCAATTGGACTTTGAGTCCTCCGTAGATTGGCTGAAAATATCCCATAGCTTCCCTCCAATGTACAGATGTGAGGAGTTGTTTTCCAACCTTGAGTGATGCAAGTTCCTATTATCTGCTAAGAACCATAGCCAAGATAGCCACCATCCTCTGTCTTAAAATTGGGAGTGAAAATATAATGTTGTCGTCGTACAAAGACTTTTATGTGTGTTTTTAAGTAAGGTGTTGATAATGGTGTGCCCTGAACTAGTTTTCATGACATACACTCACTGTTATGGTGGCTAATGTCTAATTTCAAGCTGAGATTTCATCTAGCTCTCCTTTCTATCAGAATGTTTTGCTCCCATGGTCTACTTTGACTGCACTAATGCCACAGTAGGAGCCACTGGAGCCGAGTGTCAGAAGAGCTGTCAGACCCTTGACATGGAATGCGTAAGTGTGACTACATTGTAACCATTTCTTATCTAAATTACCTGTGCAACTTATGTATTACATTGTTCCCATGATGATTGCAGTTATCACTTCTTTCCTGAGTTTATGAAACTGTCAGCACCGCTCAGCATTCATCATGGTCTCCTGTTACAAAATAGGAGTCATGCTGATGGGTGATCAGAGGCAATGACGAAAGCTAGCCTACAGAACCCATCAGAAGGTACTTCAGTGGTAGAGACAGGGAGGCACAGGGCATGGTAAACCAGTTTAACCACCACGTTATGACTTGTGAATCACTCTTACACCCAACATTATTTTTAAATCAAGGGACACCCAACGTTTTTTTAAAAATCAAGGGTATCAATATACCAAGTCACAATCTAGTGATTTATAATAACATTCTCTCAAAGAGTTCAAGAAAAGTTCTCCACACCTAAACTCCTCTGAAAAAGTAAACTTGAAGCAGTTTTGCATAGCTTGCTAATTAATTGACTCTTCATTGGTAACGCACCACTGGAGACAGATACTGATTTCACTCTGTCTAGTATCTTAGACACTTTTGTTTCTCACCTATTGATTTGTCAAGTAACATCTTTTGCTGCCTTATCTTCTGTTACAGTACAGCACACAGTGCGTCTCTGGCTGCATGTGTCCCAAGGAGTTGGTGTCCGATGGCCAAGGTGGGTGTGTAGCTGCTGAAGAGTGTCCATGCATTCACAATGAAGCCACATACAAGCCAGGGGACAGCATCAAGGTGAAATGTAATACTTGGTACGTATCGCCTGTTATAAGCTGAACTAAAAGTATTGAACTCTTCCATCTAAATGGGGGGGGGGATCAAACAAACCCCGCCACTATGAAATTTAACCATATTTCTGTCTGTGCAGTACATGTAAGAACAGAAAGTGGGAGTGCTCCACTGAACCCTGCCTGGCAACATGCTCTGTTTATGGAGATGGTCATTACATCACGTTTGATGGCAAACGCTATAGCTTCAGTGGAGACTGTGAATACACACTGGTCCAGGTATAATACTTTTCTCCCCAAGCACTTGCTTTTTTGAAATGCAGAGTCTTTAGTCTTGATATGGCAAGCTGTGTTCATGAACACCATATAACCCTCTTCTCCACAGGATCATTGCGGTAAAAACAATTCAAATGCAGGGACTTTCAGAGTGATCACGGAGAACATCCCCTGTGGCACCACCGGGACAACCTGCTCAAAAGCCATTAAAGTCTTCATGGGGGTAAGTAGGTTCACGCAAGATGAACGCAAAATATGACTTGTGCACCTGGACAGAACTGGGTTATATTAAATCTACAAATGGGGAAATCATGGAGTGCAAAGTAACTAAGCTGTAAAGGTAGCCGTGTTGGTCTGATGTAGTCGAAATAAAAAAAATAAAAAATTGTCCAGTAGCACATTAGAGTCCAACTAAGTTTGTTCTGGGTATATGTTTTTGTGTGCATGCACACTTCTTCAGATACACTGAAACAGAAGACCCTTATATATAGTGGGAAGCTGGGGTGGGGTTTTTTAGAAGGGTAGTAGGAGATGGGTGATTGACTCGATGGGTATGGTAAACCTGTTGACACTGTTAACGACTGGAATTAGTCCTACAGGAAAAAGCAAAGGATAGTATACAGATGACCAAAAATAGCTTTAGCATGTGTAATGAGACAAGAATCCAATATCTCTATTCAGACCAGGTCTCTCCATAGTTTTCAGTTTACTAATAAGTTGTAATTACTTGAAAGAGAAGTTGCTGAATTACAACTTATTGTTGCTTTTCATCTTTCAGAACTATGAGCTGATACTCGCTGATGAAAAATTTACAGTGGTACAGAGGCTTTCTGGTGGAGGTGAAGTGCCATTCAAGGTCCGCTACATGGGAATCTACATGGTGATTGACACCACAGCTGGACTGGTCCTGTTGTGGGACAAGAAAACCAGTATCTTCATCAAACTCAATGACGAATTTAAGGTATGCTGAGGATGCCAGATCAGATTATATAGGGGTGTGTGTGTAATGAAAGAGAAGTGCTACAACATTCTTCTAGGAAATTCTGTAAAGGACAAACATTAAGAGCTAATGTTAGCATTTAAATATTCCAGTCAGTTGATTTATCAGATGAATCCCCTTACTTGACCTCTTCATAGTCAGTTTAACATAGGTTCTTTGTCTGTATGAAGAACTATTGATAGTAATGAGAAACTGGTCACATTAAAAACAAAGTACAAGACAATGTACTAACTTCATATTATGATGAAGTATGACTCCAGAAATTGATTATTCTTTATGTGATCTCATGGTGGGCTTCCCATGGGCAGCTGGATGGCCCTTGTGAGAAAAGAATGCTAGACTATATCAGCCAGATCAAGAATGGCTCTCTTTACATTCTAGCTATCATTTCTATCGCAGAACTATTTTTTCTTGCATGATCAATGTGCACAGGACTGGTTACAGGACAGTGATAGACAACATGGTGCCTGACATCATCCCTGACCATTGCCCATGCTGCCTGGGGTTGATGGGAGTTGTAGTTCAACAACATCTTAAGGGCACCGTGTTGGTTACCACTGTGATAGTATAGTATAGTAAAGGTTCGTTTGTTTTTTCATAATAATGCAGCAAAATATATGCTGTGATTGTCAATATCCAAAATATGGTTAGCGTTGACATTCACATTCATATGTAACTGCTGGCCATCCCAAATTGGACAAGCACAACATCCGGATAGTGATGGAAACTGCCCTTCCTCTGGTCATCAAATTGATCATTTGATACACAGGAAAGTGAGTGGTAATAATTCCCTTGTGTGCCTGTGTATGAGAGAGAGAATGTGCAGTGGCTGCATCTACTTTTGGTCCCATCCATCACTGCAATGCAGCCTTAGGAGGGTTGACCAAGGGTGAATGAATCAAACCCAAGGAGATTACCACCTCTGCTCTCAAGGACTCCCTAATGATGCAGAAACAAATCACTCAAGTTTCTGTTTTTTTATTTGTAATTATGGTAAGCAGTATCTGATTCCCTTCACTTTTCACAAAATAACTATATATCATTATTTTTTAAAGAATCTTTTTGAATGAAATTATTTTTAAAAAAATGTGATTGAGAGTGGGTGGGGAATCAGCCTATGCCATTTTTTCTGCTAAAAAAAAGCAACTGTTGGAGCAATTGTTCTTGTAGAAGCCTAAAATATAACTTTTAATATACTTTATATGTTATGAGGCTATTCTTAAATAGGTGTGCTAATTCGGTGTACTGCATGTGTTTGATGTGTACATAGGGTCTCTGAGCACATGAAATTATCAGTTCATGTAATGGGGACAGTCAATCTATCCATGCATGTACATGCTGTCAGCTTCCTCTGCAGAAATTAACTAAAAAGTATGACAGTCACTATAAATAACCAAAGTATTATTCCATTTTGAAAATGCAGGGTCTCTAATCCCAGGAAAATAAATTTTCCACTCCTCATTAACTTGTGCTTGTCTCTCTGCAGGGTCAAGTTTGTGGCCTCTGTGGAAACTATGATGGCAATGACATAAACGACTTCACCACCAGGAGCCAGTCTGTTGTAGGAGATGTACTGGAGTTTGGTAACAGCTGGAAGGTGTCTCCCACTTGCCCAGATGCCCCGGGCAGCAGAGATCCTTGTTCTACAAACCCATATAGGAGTTCTTGGGCCCAGAAGCAATGTAGCATCATTAACAGCAAAGTGTTTGCTTCCTGCCACTCTCAGGTATGGGCAAATGCATTTTTAAAAGAATGTATAGGACACTTGAACAGCTCCAAGCTTAAGACTTGATGTGCCTGCTCTTGGGACAGGCTATACCAACCACTGCATAAGAGCAACATAAAAATGTGTTGTCATTCTGTCAGCTAATAATTCAGATAAGAAAAAGTTAAATGTGAGCCCCAGATTGGTTAGGCTCCCCAGCACAGTAAATGCCTGATATTAACACATTTAATAGATAATTAATATTTAGGGGGTTGCCAACCAATTTTACGTTTTCCTCAGTGGATGCATAAAAATACCCTTTGCTTCAATGACAAATTACTTCCTTGACAATTACTAATGTAGATGATACATAACCTTTTCACGTCCGCTTGACGTTTCGGAAGCATTCATGTTTATTATTAACAACAAATTGCCTCTGCATGCAATTCTGTTGCTATAACAAAATGTGCAACTTGAAAATAAAAACAATGACTGATGTCACAAATTTTCCATGCTGACTTTGTTGGAGAAACGAGAACTGTAATTGGGAAAGAAAACCCAGAAAATGCACCCTCCCTCTCCGACCATGGCCTGCTAAGACTGAACCACAAATCAAACCATGTGTATTCCTTCTCTAACAGGTTGAACCAACTAAATATTATGAAGCCTGCATCTCTGATGCCTGTGCTTGTGACACTGGGGGAGACTGTGAATGCTTCTGTACTGCTGTAGCCGCCTATGCTCAGGCGTGCAATGAAGCTGGCAGTTGCATTTCTTGGAGAACTCCAAACATCTGCCGTGAGTACTGCCCATTCCTTTTAAAGTAATAACAAAAAGATAGATTAGTGAGAACAAGGAGTAGGCTAATGTTTCTGTATTTGTAGCACCATATATGGTATGTGGTAGGATGGCATGCAGTAGGTTGGAGCATTGCTGAACGTTTGCATATTTTTGTAATCCAATTTCTGCATTCATTTTGAATGCAGTGACGCGATCACAACATGATTCCTGCTTGTCAAATTCATATCAAGAACATTTGAATTTATCCTAACTTTGCAAGAGCTAAATGTCTTCAGAATATGCTAAATCTCAGCATATCCCCTCCTTACTGTCCAATTCCCCTCCTTACTGTCTCCCGTGCTGTCAATCCATACCTGCCTGTGACCATGAGGTCAAGGAAAATAGGAAGACTTTCCCTGGAACAAGTACTGCTGCTGCTACTAGCTGCCTGCTTTGTTATTCATTAAATTTATATACCACCCTTCATCCTAAGATCACAGGGTGGTTTACAGTACAAAAATGCAGAATACATAACATAATAACAAAAAAACCCCCACCAGTAACACGTTTAGAAGACCATAGATCTTTCATATTTTGGCAGAGGAAGTGTAGCCATTCACCAGGCCCAGCATTCACCACCCAGTCCTACCTGTGATCCACCCAATATCTCTGATCCTACCTCCTACCAGCTGGGGAGAAGATGTAGCAGGAGGGTAACTGGGTCTGTTCCTGACATCCCTGCTCGCAAAATTCATTTGATGGTGTTCCTGACTGGTGAAGTGAATAATGACACTAGAGAAACAAGCAACTAATATTGCTTACCAGATCACTGAACATAGAAATGAGAAATGACTGGCATACAGTGCAAGGATAGGTATTGAGTGCTATGAAATTAATGCATTTTACTTGAAAGTAACATTTAAAAAACCCTTTCCTCCTTTTGCAGCTCTGTTCTGTGATTACTATAATCCAAAAGAGGAGTGTGAGTGGCACTACCAGCCTTGTGGCTCTCCTTGTATGAAGACTTGCAGAAACCCAAGTGGAAAATGCCTCCATGAGTTACAAGGCTTAGAAGGTACAAGGATTGTGGACCTTACCCTTGACCTACAAATGATGATTACAGGAAACTTAAAAGCTTCATTTTATATTAATTGTTATAAAAACTGTGGTTGCCCAAAACAAAATGCTTGATGCTTTGTGAATATGGGAAGTTTGGTTTGGGGAAAGGGAAGTTACTGTTTTGTCCCAGTCAAGGGGACAGGATCTAGCCCAGTGGAAGCATGTCCTACACAGAAAATTCAAGGTCACATACTGCTGGTCCCTGTCTGGGATCCAGAAGCAAAGCCAGATCAAGCAGAGATTGGGTTTCAGCCGGGCAAGGTCAGATTCTGACGATCGGGGTCAGGCAAAGTAAAACACAGATCAGGTTCCACTGAGGTCATTCCAGCAAAGTAGAGAGTAGGTCCAAATAAACAGAGTCAAGTAAAGCAGAGGTTGGGGGCCAAAAAGGCAGATGAGCAAATAAACATAGTAGTAAAACCCTAGTTAGCTCCAAGTGAAATCTAGGCTGGACTGTTGTTCTAGCACCCAACTATCCTGGACTCAGCCTTAAGTAGGATTGCTGCTTTGATTGGGAAGCTAACTTCTTCCCTGATGCATAGAGCCCTTACAGTTAAAGAGGTTCAGCCACTAGGTGCCATTCACTTTGGAAGCTTGGGGGAGACCAAGGTTAAGTTCTTGCCTCTAAGCTGGAGACCAGAGTTCGAGGAAGACAAGGCAACTTCTTCAAGGTGGAGAGGTGCAGGCATCATGTGCTCCTTTGATGCTAGAACACCCAAGGAGGCAGGAATGTCTAAAGCGGGTTCTGAGGTCAATCTTCCTTTTGGTCAAGAGATTCCCTCTGCCTCCATGGCCTCTTCTCCTGAGCCCCAGTCTTGCTAAATGACAGTTGCTTGACTTTTCTTTACCATAAACTTCACTGACAATCTGTGGAAGGGTTATGGTATAAATGCAGAACAACCTACTTCAGGACTCACAAAGTTTCCACTCACAGAATCCTCTGCTGGACCAAAGAGCTTCTGCTAGTGGGGATACACAGTTGGATTCAAGCCAGTGTGACTATTAGTCTGAGTTTATGGATTAACATATGGCTTATAATTGTGAGATCAAGATATGGCAGGGATGGGCGGCCTGTGGCCCTCCAGATGTTGTTGAACTACAGTTCCCAGCATTGGCCATGCTGGCTATGACTGATGGGAGCTTGAGTCCAACAATGCATGGAGGCCAAAGGTTTCTCATCCCTGGTTTATGGTGTGACAGCACCATACACAAAATCAGCTTAAAGGCTAACATTTGTGCAGGGTATGGTAAAAACTCTCTTTCTTACCACAGGCTGCTATCCAAAGTGTCCAGCTGATAAGCCCTATTTTGATGAAGATGAGATGCAGTGTGTTGATCTTCCAGCGTGCGGCTGCTTTGATGGCAAAGGAAACCACTATAAACCAGGAGAAAAAATGCCTTCACAAAAGAGCTGTGAATCATGGTAATGCTTGTCTTTCAAATGATGAGAATGAGAATGTGAATGTAAAAATGTTTAAAGTTGTGGCAGAGGCATAGCATGCTCTATTTCATACTGCAGAAACAGGTTTGAGAAGGCAAAGTTTGGAAATGTTCTCCTTAGGATTAATCTGCTCCAGCATGTCTGCCCACCTCTTTTTGAACTTCTACTGCGGTAGAAAGAAAGTTTGCCTGAAGGCTCTAGTGAAATTACTACTGCTCTTTTCTTCACTTTCACTCAGCTAATTTGTTTCTCCTCTTCTGTAGGTTCTGGTGAGGATTCTCTACTATCCTACGTGCTGTGCTTCTTCCTTTTATATAGGGACAGATTCTGATATTTAGGGCTGTGTACACACCATACACTGAAAGCACATTCCCAACCCCAAAGATTCCTGGGATCTGCAGTTTGTTAAGTGTGCTGGGAATTTTAGTTCTGGGGGTAAACTACAGTTCCCAAGATTCTTTCAGGGGGAGATTTGCTTTAAATGTTTGTTATGTACACAGCCATTGTCCATGCTGATTAGTAGAATGAATAACCAACCAAATCAGCTTTAGGAATGACCGCTCCCCACATTAAGTAAGCCCTTTGTGTGGTCGCGCACAGCCCCCTGGACCCTATGTGGCACCATTAGCACAGGCTTGGCTTCGCCTTCTCCAGGTGGGATACCTGGAGGTCTCCGCCTACCTCAGCCAGTTGCCCAATCCCGCCTGGGGAGGCATTGCCAAGGTGATCAGGCCAAGTAGGGGGAGGGACCACCTGCCCACACAATAGGGGGAGGACCTTACCTGGGAATCATCAGTTAGCCCCACCTTCTAAACAACAGCCAATATACCAATTGTTGGGGGGAAGGGGGTATCTGCTTTTACAAAAAGAAAATTAGAGTTAATCATTGGATGTTCCAAAAAGATAAATGATTCAATTTTAATTCCATTTACTTTGAAGTGCAGTCCATTTATTTCAATGAAACTTCCTTCCAACAGCAAGTAAGATGCAGTCTTTCACACACTCACCTGGAAAATGGAAGCTCTACTGCCGGGGTGGCCAACTCCCGAGAGACTGTGATCTACTCTCAGAGTTAGAAACCGGCAGTGATCTACCACCTTTTGGGGGGTTCTAGTCTAAGTTGTTGAGCTTTTTTTAGGGAGGAGGAACGCTTTCTTTAGGGGAGCTTTTTTGAGGGGAGCCCATGATCTGACAGTGATCTACCACAGACGTTCAATGATCTACCAGTAGATCACAATCTGCTACTGGATGTCATAGAATTTAGTTCTGAGTAAATGAGTAAAACCAATTAGAGTCAAAGCCTAAAATTGCTTTCTCAATCCAAGTGTAGTAGTTTATTCAGAATTTCACCTCCATAGACATTCTTTTATACTGGTTGTATATGCCCCTGAGGGCACACTCCATTGTCTCTTGAGGCAGACGGATGCCAACAACTAATATAAGGAGGGCTGTTAGTGTCTTCTTTGCTCACTAAAGAAAATTAACTACCTTCAAATGTGTTTTCTTTCCTTTTAGCTATTGTTCCATGGCTGGCAAACCAGAGTGTCGATACGATGAACTTGGTATGTTCTCAGTGCTAAGTTTTAATATGAATTGTGAGTGATTTGGAACAGCCTTTTACATTTTAAGAAGTTTAATGCTGACAATTTCTTTTGAATGACAGAATGCCACTGCATCTATGAAGGGAAGATTAGCAAGCCTGGGGATGTCATCTACAACACAACAGATGGCATTGGAGGGTGCATCACTGCGATTTGCAGTAAGAATGGAACAATAGAGAGGAATATCTTCCCATGCACAACAACACCCACCACAACCACCACCACCACTGCACCAACCACTACCGTCTTTAACTTTTCCAGTACCTCTTCACCAGCAACCACTACTGCAGGTAAAAACTCTGATGATAGTGCAATCATATGGTTCACTCCCTCCCTACCCTATTCAGTGAAACCCATCTCCAGTACATTGGAATTAGTAGATTGTAGTAGAGTATAAATTTCAAGAGCATTACCCTGCAACGTTGTCTGTGGATTTCTGTAGTTTCTTTACCACCTTTTGCATAGCTGTATGGTACATTGCTATGGCGGAGACATAGTACTGCCTCCTGGAATGGTACTCCTGGAATGGTACTGCATGGGCGTTTTTACCCTTAGCATTTTCTGAGCTGGTGGAAATGAATACCAGCCATTCCAATCAATCTAGGAAGGGATGGGTGTTTTCTGGGAAGCCCGGATGAGAGGGCTACCTCTCCAACTCCAGCAATGCAAAATATGACCTGTGCCTCTGTAATTTAAATCTTTCAATGAAATGTTTAGAAAACAATAAGCATTTTTTGCTGGTGTGAAGAACTACTTGTAAGTAAATGTATATAGGATACTTTTAAGTAAGCCAATAAGCTGTGGTCCCTCCTGTGATGTGTTTCCAATCTCCCAAAGAGCTGAGGAGAAAAATGGAGGTGCTTCACTCCAGGTTCTCCTTGACTAATTTCTGGGCAACTTGCAGTACCCTGTTTATTCATAGTGCTCCCACCCATCTCATATGTGCTTCATTCAGTTTTCCTCCCATCTCAATCAGCTGCTACCCAGTTTCTTGATCCAGGTCTCTGAGGAGCTCCAGTCCCAGCAGCCCATATCACTTTTCCTTCTCATTTCCTCACTCGAACATTTTGATTTTACATTTTGTTATTACAAAAGGAAATAGAGATATTTAAAAGCCTGTGTTACTCAGCAACTAGTTCCAGAGGGGTCCAATGGATTGGTTCAGTCCAGATGGCTCGGATGAACTGATTTAGTTAAACCCTCAAAGGTTGCTTCCAAACCACCTGTTTCTTGAGCATCCATTCTGATTTGTTTGCCAGGGAGGTTAGATAACACGGTTTCAAGCCAATGATATCCCACCCTTTTCAAGGGTATTTCCCAGTCTCATTTGCAAGTAACTCAGTTTTAGTAGGGAGTGAGTTTGTTGCTCAAGAGCACCAAATCAATTGCACCAAATGAATTTGCTGGTATGTGACTGAATCCCGCCTGGAAATGGTGGCAGTCTAGAAGAGCCTCAAGGAAACTTCCTTCTTACACACAGCTTCTACTGTACATGCTTAAAATTTAAAAGTTTAAATAAGCATGAAAATACTAATGTGCCATTTTATCTTTTTTACCCTCACAGTGCCTGTAACAACATCCGTTTGTGTTCAGGAAGTATGCCAGTGGTCACAGTGGTATGATGTGAGCCAGCCTGGCTCTGGAGATGATGATGGAGATTTTGATACTTTTGAAAAACTACGAGCAGAAGGATATAAAGTCTGCAGAGCTCCAAGGGCCGTTGCCTGCAGAGCTGAGAAATTTCCCAATACTCCATTAAGTGAACTGGGCCAGAAAGTAGAATGCAGTAAAACAGTGGGGCTAATCTGTTACAACAAGGATCAGCATCCAATGAGCTGCCACAATTATCAAATCAAAATCCAGTGTTGTAGCTTTGAACCATGTGGCATTACTGCATCGACACCTGGGACTACGCACACAACAACACCAACTACTCTTCCTGTAACAACTCCTACTCCTGTAACAACACCAAAGCTACCACCTACCACAACTGTAGTAACCGAAACAACTAGCATCTCAACTACAACCCCAGCAACCACAACAGAAATACCACGGTCAACACCTTGTAAACTCACATGTAAATGGACTGAATGGTACGATGTGCACTTTCCCACTTTGGACAACAAAGGGGATTTTGAAACATACGACATCATTAAGGCTGCAGGAAAAGATATATGCCAAAAACCTGAACGTATAGAATGCAGGGCAGAGAAATATCCAGAGAAATCTATTGATGAAATTGGACAAACTGTTCAGTGCAATGTGACATTTGGCTTTGTCTGCAAAAATGAAGAACAGTCAGGAATCTTGCAGATGTGTTATAACTATCAGATCAAAGTATACTGCTGTTATACTGACTGCTTAACCACCACTCCAGAAACTACAACAGCAAGCACAAGTACTGTTTCAGTAACTACCACAGTTACTAGTACAACTCCAGAAACAACATCTACATCAATAGTGACAACTAAGCCAAAAACAACAACAGTCACAACCACACCTTCTACTACTAAATCTACAACCACAACTACTACAGCCACAACATCCACTACAATTCCAGAAACTACAACTGAAACAACACCTTCTACAACTAAAATTATAACCACACCCACAACAAAAGAAACAACACATCCAACTGTGTCAACAACTACATCAACAACCTCACAAATTACAACAAAAGGTACAACCATAGTGTCAACTACTTCTGAAGCAACAACATTAACCACAACACCTCCAACTACAACACAGTCACCAACAACAGTAACAACTGTTCCAGAGACAACAAAAAGTTTAGAAACGACAACAATTTCAACAACAGCCCCTTCGACACCTGAACAATGCACTAAGGAAGTTTGTGAATGGTCACAGTGGTATGATATAAGTTACCCAGGATCCGCACCAGATGATGGAGATTTTGATACATTTAAGAATATAAGAGCCAAAGGATACAAAGTCTGTAAGGCACCAAAAAATGTTGAATGCAGAGCAGAAAGATATCCTGATACACCACTAAATGAATTAGAGCAAAAAGTTACTTGTAGTAAAACAGAAGGACTCATATGTTACAACAAAGAACAACTTCCACCAATTTGCTATAATTATGAGATAAGAATTGAATGCTGTGAAAAAATAATTGTACCATGTCCAACAACCAGACCACTAACAACTACAAAGCCTTTAACCTCACAAACAACGACCACCAGCAAAACAACTACAACAGCATCAACACCAATAACTACTACCAAAGAAAAGACTATTATTACACGAACTCAGACAACTACACAGCCATCAAAAGCACCGCTACTAAATGGAACAACATCAATCACAACTAAACCTCTACAAACGACAAAAGTCACAACAAGGACAACACCATTAATTACTACAAAGCCTGAAACACCGAAAACTAAGCCGACAACTGAAGTTACAACAACGAAGCCAGCAACAACTACAAAATTGCAAACCACCACAACACAAACAACGGAAACAACCACCAGTGTCATCACAACAACAAAAGCAACCACCACACCTGTGGTAGTAAGCACGACTTTGCCTAGAATGACACCAGAAAGGACTACAATGGTGACAACCACCAGTGCCACCACCACTCCCAAACCAACCACTACAGCTCCAGAAACGACCACCACCACACCAGTAACAACTACAGAACCCAAAACCACTACAAAACAGCCAACAACGACACCAACCACCACACCTCGGCCAGTAAGCACAACCACATTGCCCACGACCACTGTACCAGTCACCACAACAACTACCGAGACGACTACCACCTCTCCAGAAACAACAACTTGTGGACCTATATGTCAGTGGACCGACTGGTTTGATGTTGACTATCCCACATCTGGACCTAACGGGGGTGACATTGAGACGTATAACAACATCCGAGATGCGGGTGGCAAGATCTGTGCCAAGCCATCAAACATCCAGTGCAGGGCTGAAAATTACCCTGACCTCCGCCTTGACCAACTCAATCAGATAGTAGAGTGTAATGTTGACTCTGGACTAGTTTGCAGGAATGATGAGCAAATTGGGAAAATCAGGCAGTGCTTGAATTATGAGATACGAGTGTTGTGCTGTGAAGTAAACCCACGTTGCCCACCTACAACCATCCCAACCACCACCACTCCCAAACCAACCACTACAGCTCCAGAAACAACCACCACCACACCAGTAAAAACTACAGCACCCAAAACCACCACAACGCAACCAACCACCACCACCACCACCACTCCCAAACCAACCACTACTGCTCCAGAAACAACCACCACCACACCAGTAACAACTACAGCACCAAAAACCACCACAACACAACCAACAACGACAACCACCACCACCACCACCACACCTCGGCCAGTAAGTACAACCACCTTGCCCACAACCACTGTGCCAGTCACCACAACAACCACCGAGACGACTACCACCTCTCCAGAAACAACAACTTGTGGACCTATATGTCAGTGGACCGACTGGTTTGATGTTGACTATCCCACATCTGGACCTAACGGGGGTGACATTGAGACGTATAACAACATCCGGGCTGCAGGAGGGAAGATCTGTGCCAAGCCATCAAACATCCAGTGCAGGGCTGAAAATCACCCTGGCCTCAGCCTTGACCAGGTTGGTCAGAAAGTTGAGTGTAATGTTGATTCTGGACTGGTTTGCAAGAATGAAGAGCAAATTGGGAAAATCAGGCAGTGCTTGAATTATGAGATACGGGTGTTGTGCTGTGAAGTAAACCCACGTTGCCCACCTACAACCATCCCAACCACCACCACGACAGCTCCAGAAACAACCACCACCACACCAGTAACAACTACAGCACCCAAAACCACCACAACACAACCAACAACAACAACCACCACCACTCCCAAACCAACCACTACTGCTCCAGAAACAACCACCACCACACCAGTAACAACTACAGCACCAAAAACCACCACAACACAACCAACAACGACAACCACCACCACCACCACACCTCGGCCAGTAAGTACAACCACCTTGCCCACAACCACTGTGCCAGTCACCACAACAACCACCGAGACGACTACCACCTCTCCAGAAACAACAACTTGTGGACCTATATGTCAGTGGACCGACTGGTTTGATGTTGACTATCCCACATCTGGACCTAACGGGGGTGACATTGAGACATATAACAAGATCCGGGCTGCAGGAGGGAAGATCTGTGCCAAGCCATCAAACATCCAGTGCAGGGCTGAAAATCACCCTGGCCTCAGCCTTGACCAGCTTGGTCAGAAAGTTGAGTGTAATGTTGATTCTGGACTGGTTTGCAAGAATGATGAGCAAATTGGGAAATTCAGGCAGTGCTTGAATTTTGAGATACGGGTATTGTGCTGTGAAGTAAACCCACGTTGCCCACCTACAACCATTCCAACCACCACCACTCCCAAACCAACCACGACAGCTCCAGAAACAACCACCACCACACCAGTAACAACTACAGCACCCAAAACCACCACAACGCAACCAACAACAACAACAACCACCACCACCACTCCCAAACCAACCACTACTGCTCCAGAAACAACCACCACCACACCAGTAACAACTACAGCACCAAAAACCACCACAACACAACCAACAACGACAACCACCACCACCACCACACCTCGGCCAGTAAGTACAACCACCTTGCCCGCAACCACTGTGCCAGTCACCACAACAACCACCGAGACGACTACCACCTCTCCAGAAACAACAACTTGTGGACCTATATGTCAGTGGACCGACTGGTTTGATGTCGACTATCCCACATCTGGACCTAACGGGGGTGACATTGAGACGTATAACAACATCCGGGCTGCAGGAGGGAAGATCTGTGCCAAGCCATCAAACATCCAGTGCAGGGCTGAAAATCACCCTGGCCTCAGCCTTGACCAGCTTGGTCAGAAAGTTGAGTGTAATGTTGATTCTGGACTGGTTTGCAAGAATGATGAGCAAATTGGGAAATTCAGGCAGTGCTTGAATTTTGAGATACGGGTATTGTGCTGTGAAGTAAACCCACGTTGCCCACCTACAACCATCCCAACCACCACCACTCCCAAACCCACCACTACAGCTCCAGAAACAACCACCACAACACCAGTAACAACTACAGCACCCAAAACCACCACAACGCAACCAACAACAACAACCACCACCACTCCCAAACCAACCACTACTGCTCCAGAAACAACCACCACCACACCAGTAACAACTACAGCACCAAAAACCACCACAACCAACAACGACAACCACCACCACCACCACACCTCGGCCAGTAAGTACAACCACCTTGCCCACAACCACTGTGCCAGTCACCACAACAACCACCGAGACGACTACCACCTCTCCAGAAACAACAACTTGTGGACCTATATGTCAGTGGACCGACTGGTTTGATGTTGACTATCCCACATCTGGACCTAACGGGGGTGACATTGAGACGTATAACAACATCCGGGCTGCAGGAGGGAAGATCTGTGCCAAGCCATCAAACATCCAGTGCAGGGCTGAAAATCACCCTGGCCTCAGCCTTGACCAGGTTGGTCAGAAAGTTGAGTGTAATGTTGATTCTGGACTGGTTTGCAAGAATGAAGAGCAAATTGGGAAAATCAGGCAGTGCTTGAATTATGAGATACGGGTGTTGTGCTGTGAAGTAAACCCACGTTGCCCACCTACAACCATCCCAACCACCACCACTCCCAAACCAACCACTACAGCTCCAGAAACAACCACCACCACACCAGTAACAACTACAGCACCAAAAACCACCACAACACAACCAACAACGACAACCACCACCACTACCACACCTCGGCCAGTAAGTACAACCACCTTGCCCACAACCACTCTGCCAGTCACCACCACAACAACTGAGACGACTACCACCTCTCCAGAAACAACAACTTGTGGACCTATATGTCAGTGGACCGACTGGTTTGATGTTGACTATCCCACTTCCGGACCAAACGGGGGGTGACATTGAGACATATAACAAGATCCGTGATGCAGGAGAGAAGATCTGTGCCAAACCATCAAACATCCAGTGCAGGGCTGAAAATCACCCTGACCTCCGCCTTGACCAGGTTGGTCAAGTTGTCGAGTGTAATGTTGACTCTGGACTGGTGTGCAAGAATGATGAGCAAATTGGGAAATTTAAGCAGTGCTTGAATTATGAGATACGGGTGTTGTGCTGTGAAGTAAACCCACGTTGCCCGCCTACAACCATCCCAACCACCACCACTCCCAAACCAACCACGACAGCTCCAGAAACAACCACCACCACACCAGTAACAACTACAGCACCAAAAACCACCACAACACAACCAACAACGACAACCACCACCACCACCACCACACCTCGGCCAGTAAGTACAACCACCTTGCCCACAACCACTCTGCCAGTCACCACCACAACAACCGAGACGACTACCACCTCTCCAGAAACAACAACTTGTGGACCTATATGTCAGTGGACCGACTGGTTTGATGTTGACTATCCCACTTCCGGACCAAACGGGGGTGACATTGAGACATATAACAAGATCCGTGATGCAGGAGAGAAGATCTGTGCCAAACCATCAAACATCCAGTGCAGGGTTGAAAATGACCCTGACCTCCGCCTTGACCAGGTTGGTCAAGTTGTCGAGTGTAATGTTGACTCTGGACTGGTGTGCAAGAATGATGAGCAAATTGGGAAATTTAAGCAGTGCTTGAATTATGAGATACGGGTGTTGTGCTGTGAAGTAAACCCACGTTGCCCGCCTACAACCATCCCAACCACCACCACTCCCAAACCAACCACGACAGCTCCAGAAACAACCACCACCACACCAGTAACAACTACAGCACCAAAAACCACCACAACACAACCAACAACGACAACCACCACCACCACCACCACCACACCTCGGCCAGTAAGTACAACCACCTTGCCCACAACCACTCTGCCAGTCACCACCACAACAACTGAGACGACTACCACCTCTCCAGAAACAACAACTTGTGGACCTATATGTCAGTGGACCGACTGGTTTGATGTTGACTATCCCACTTCCGGACCAAACGGGGGTGACATTGAGACATATAACAAGATCCGTGATGCAGGAGAGAAGATCTGTGCCAAACCATCAAACATCCAGTGCAGGGTTGAAAATGACCCTGACCTCCGCCTTGACCAGGTTGGTCAAGTTGTCGAGTGTAATGTTGACTCTGGACTGGTGTGCAAGAATGATGAGCAAATTGGGAAATTTAAGCAGTGCTTGAATTATGAGATACGGGTGTTGTGCTGTGAAGTAAACCCACGTTGCCCGCCTACAACCATCCCAACCACCACCACTCCCAAACCAACCACGACAGCTCCAGAAACAACCACCACCACACCAGTAACAACTACAGCACCAAAAACCACCACAACACAACCAACAACGACAACCACCACCACCACCACACCTCGGCCAGTAAGTACAACCACCTTGCCCACAACCACTGTGCCTGTCACCACCACAACAACCGAGACGACTACCACCTCTCCAGAAACAACAACTTGTGGACCTATATGTCACTGGACCGACTGGTTTGATGTTGACTATCCCACTTCCGGACCAAACGGGGGTGACATTGAGACATATAACAAGATCCGTGATGCAGGAGAGAAGATCTGTGCCAAACCATCAAACATCCAGTGCAGGGCTGAAAATCACCCTGACCTCCGCCTTGAACAGGTTGGTCAAGTTGTCGAGTGTAATGTTGACTCTGGACTGGTCTGCAAGAATGATGAGCAAATTGGGAAATTTAAGCAGTGCTTGAATTATGAGATACGGGTGTTGTGCTGTGAAGTAAACCCACGTTGCCCGCCTACAACCATCCCAACCACCACCACTCCCAAACCAACCACGACAGCTCCAGAAACAACCACCACCACACCAGTAACAACTACAGCACCAAAAACCACCACAACACAACCAACAACAACCACCACCACTCCCAAACCAACCACTACTGCTCCAGAAACAACAACCACAACACCATTAACAACTACAGTACCCAAAACCACAACAACACAACCAACAACGACAACCACCACACCTCGGCCAGTAAGCACAACCACCTTGCCCACAACCACTGTGCCAGTCAGCACCACCACTACCGAGACGACTACCACCTCTCCAGAAACAACAACTTGTGGACCTATATGTCAGTGGACCGACTGGTTTGATGTTGACTATCCCACATCTGGACCTAACGGGGGTGACACTGAGACGTATAACAACATCCGGGCTGTAGGAGGGAAAATCTGTGCCAAGCCATCAAACATCCAGTGCAGGGCTGAAAATTACCCTGACCTCCGCCTTGACCAGCTTGGTCAGAAAGTTGAGTGTAATGTTGATTCTGGACTGGTTTGCAAGAATGATGAGCAAATTGGGAAATTCAGGCAGTGCTTGAATTTTGAGATACGGGTATTGTGCTGTGAAGTAAACCCACGTTGCCCACCTACAACCATCCCAATCACCACCACTCCCAAACCAACCACGACAGTACCAGTAACACCAACTGCCTGTTTCTGCAAGATTAATGAAACCATTTACAGACGTGGTAAGTAACCAATGTAGATTTCTATGGACTTTGCACATCATTTTTTACTTAAAATTATAAAAATAATATTGCTTATGGATTCATTTGCATATTTTTTCCACATTTTTGCTAAACCCTTCTTTCTTTAATACAGCCCATTGTTCATTATTCTTTCATTATTTTGTGCTACTACTTTGTATGTTAGAAATATTTACAGTCTAACTCTTTGATTCCCTTTTGTAGGTGATACGATTTACAATAAAACAGACAGTGATGGTTGCCTTTTCACTGCTGTTTGTAGTAAAACATGTTCTGTTGAGAGATCCAAAGGTCCATGCAAACTAACAACACCAAAACCCACTCCGACAGTTGTTGTCACAACCCCCACCCCCACCACTACCATTGCCACTACCACTACCACCACTGAGCAACCTGGATGCCCAGATGCTAAACCACCCTTAAAGGTACCGATCTCTTTTCATCTTGATTTGAAATAATGTTTTCCATTTGGAAGTTGATGCACAGAAAGCTACAGGTTGGGTACCTGGAAATACTCAATAGGGCAACAGGGATTAGCCTTACTTCTTCGCAGTGCTTATCTCTTGGCTGGTTCGTGGTTAGGTTTGCATTCACCTGAATGCTGTGTAGGGGTGTAACTCCAGTTATCCATGAAGTTTTACCAGCTCCGAACCTGAGTGCTCCAGTCCTGGGGGTGGGGACATTTTCAAACTTTGTATCAAGTGAGCCCTCTTATTTGTGCAGTACAGGTGTGGGAATAGTGGTGGATTTTCTCTCTTTATTGTGTAGGAAGAAATTGCCTCTAGATCAGTTCTGCATGATTCCCCCACATGTCATGACTTTGGGGGCTTTTAATATAATATTTGCTAAGGTGTTCCCACCCCCCATGATGAGGGTTTAGCATGTGCATTCAAAAAGTCCAAGCCAGAGGTGCTCTTGGGAAATCCAGTAAATGGGTTGCCTAGGTTGCCCAGTGACTATCCAGGTATTTTAATATCTGTCATGTGACAAGCGGTTGTCGGGCTGAGGAGATACATAGGCTGAGGCTTCATAACCAGGTGCCTGGAAGTGCTTGGACCTCACAAGAATACTTTAGCAGGGGAATGCCCAGACTCTGTGGCCTTGAGTGGCTCTGCTTGATCCAGTGTAAATCAGAAATCAATGCAAATCAGAAGAATTTGTTACGATGCATATAATGTGGTGAAAATTATGATAATCTGGACCATTAACTGCCTAATCAACTGCTTCAAACAATCCCTCTCACAATTCTCCTCTGCAAATCTTAATGTCACTTAGACTATAATCCAGTCCACACATAGCTGGAAATGTGTTTCAGTGGGACTTACCTCCAAAGAGGCATTTACAGGACTACGTTGTTGTTATTATTATTAACAGGGTATTCTTGGAAATTTGCTGAATATTCACCAAACAATATTTGTTATTTAACTGTGCCGTGGTAGCTGATATGCAACAGTATTTAATATTTAACAGTATTTGCTAGGGGCCAATGGGGCAGAAAAGGTATGTGCAGTAGCCTGTGTTAAAATCACTTGATACAGCCTTGGAGGAGATGTTAAACGAAACAAAAACAAACTAAGACAGGTGGAATAAACCAAGGAACCAGAAATTATTTATGACTTTGTACATAGAACGTAAGTAATTCAACAAAAAATATAGCAGGATTAAGGAGTTTTGCATAGTAGACCCAGACTACACATGCCAAAATTCATAGATATGACTAATATAGGTCCATTAATTTCAATGGGACTACTCTAAAGTTTAATTGGATACAACCCAATGTGTTTTATTAATAATATTCAATAACTGTCATTCCAGTGGTGTAAAGGGCAGTATTCAGCACACTCATTCTGCCAGTGCAATGACTTTTGGCTGCACAACAGTACTTTCCCTCCCTCTTCTCTTGCCATACCCCTACCTGCTGACCTGGAGGGATTTGGGGAAGGTGACCATGGGATGAGGAGAGGGTGTGTGCAAGTAGAAATCCTTTCACTCATGGAACACGTGCATTGGATACCACCGCAAATATTTGATAATGATAGTTCAATAATAGGCAATAGTGTTTAGTACTGGACAATATTTGACAGCCGGCAGCATCAAAATGACCAAGTGCTGGAGACCTTTAGCCCTCCAGATTCTATTGGGTTACAACTGCAACCATCCCTGACCATTGACCATGCTAGCTGATGGGAGATGGAGTCCAGCAACATCTTGAGAGCCACAGGTTCCCCATCCTTGATGTAGGTGCAAAGCTTCTATGGTGAACCTCTGATTGGTTGGTGCTGTAGAAAACTAGATACCAGGAGATTTCTGAAGTAGGATGCATTCACTTGTACATGTATAAATGGTATACATAAGCAGGAACCAAAGAAGAAGTGCCTATCAGTTATATATAAAACTGTACATAAAGCTTAGCTGGGTCTAACTGTAAGTGTCAGTGGCAACAATGTCTTTCTCTTCACAGACTGGTGACAAATGGGTATCAAATTGCACCGTATCAACTTGTGAGGGAAACAATAAAATTTCTGTAAAGCAAGTACAGTGTCCACCAGTGAGGAATATTGTTTGTGAAAATGGGTACCCACCAAACAAAGTCTTCAGTGAAGATGGCTGCTGTTATCACTATGAATGTGAATGTGAGTGAAAATAAATCTCTAAAGAAGCACTCATGACTCCGTTTTCATGGTGCAAACATTACCTCAAACATACTCTTGTTTGAGTCATTGTTTATGCTTTTCTTAAAGTCTAACTTAAGTCCTAATGGTTAACATTCCCCCCCTCTAATTTTTCAGGTGTTTGTAGCGGCTGGGGTGATCCTCACTATATCACATTTGATGGAACGTACTACACTTTCCTGGACAACTGCACATATGTGTTGGTGCAGCAGATTACACCTAAATACGACAACTTCAGGATTCTAATTGATAATTATTTCTGTGATGCTGAAGATGGACTTTCATGCCCTCAGTCTATCATTGTTTACTACAAAACGTCAGTGGTAGTGCTAACCCGCAAACTCTTTGATGGTGTGGAAGCTAACAAGGTAAAAAAAAATATGTACACTACTTGAATTGTTTCTTTCAATGTATTATTTTATAGAAAATGCAACAGGACTGAAGGAGCTAGGCATATTTACTTTAGTGAGTAAAGGGAAACCCAAGACAAAGCCCACACTCAAGAGAACATGATTAGCTATGTCCAAGAATTTTCAGTAGGTGTACTGTATAGCAGCCTTTACTCATCTGGTTCTGCCTGAGGTTTATAGGGGTTATAGTCCCTGGGTTACATGATGACTGAGTCTTCAGATGATGAACATGCATGGGTAAGCCTGTCCTATATTTCTACCCCCATTTGAGAAATCAGAAATTTACTGCAAGATCAGAAATGTAGATTTCTGAAGTTAAAACATTGCTGTCTCATTCTTATTAGAAAATGTTATTGATCTTCAACAGAGTGAAATCTTTCCTAGATTAGTTATGGTCAACTGTAAAAAGGCTATGTGCAAGTCAACTCACTCACATTTGATTAGCTTAGGGACACAAGGAGACAGATAAAATGTGAACAACACATTTTGTGAACAAATCTGAACTGTGTGTCAGCTGTGAAAAGCAGCATTGCACATATTAAATAGCACAGCAAGACTGGGATTCAAAGTGATTTTCAGTCTCACAATTCCTAATACAATCACACTCCTCCTTTCTTTCTTAGACATTCAGGGGACCCTGTGCAGTGGTATTCCTTGAGACACAGTAGGCTATCACAAGAAGGGGAAATTGTCAAACATCTTATGTGGATGCAGGAGTGCTGTTTGTGTAGATTCAATTCATGTACTTTAAGTTTATTTTTGTAGAGCAAGTGGAATATAAATTCCATAATAAATAATTTAACAACATATCTACAAAAGTAAATAAATTACTTTTTAAAAAAGCATAGCAAAGCAAAGAGAATTCCTCATTGTTGCAACATTAATCTCATTTACAGATCTACTTTGATGGTAAGATTGTCAACCCAGGCTTCCAGAAAGATGGCATTTTTGTCTCCATGGTTGGTGTCAACATGGTAGTTGAGATTCCTGAGCTTGGGGCTGTCATCACCTTCAGCGGTTTGATCTTCTCAATAAAACTTCCATACAGCAAATTTGGCAACAACACCGAAGGACAGTGTGGTAAGGGAAAATAATGCTTTACTCCCATGAAAATCCATGTTGTTCCATCAACCATTGGTTCACTCTTTCGAACCAATTACCAATTTAAAGTTAAGTCAGAACCATGTTTTTCATTTCAGTTTCACTTTTGTTGTTTTCAAAAAGCACCTTGGTTTCTCTGTTTGACTGCCCCTCCTCCTCAAAATCTCATTTATTTCCCCCCAAATCCTGGATGCCAGGTATCCTGGATACTGCTGAAAATTTTGAGAAGGAGAAAACCCAGAATGGAATAGCACAACATTTGCTTCAAAAGAAAGGAGAATGTTTCTTCAGTCAATAGCATGATTTAAATTTTATGTATTTCAGTGATTCTAGCATTGCACTGAATGCAAAACACTGCGTAGTTTGTTGCAAATATATAAAACTCTCTACCTTCCATTCTGTTCTGATTCTGTTTTGTTTTCCCCCAGGTACCTGTACAAATGACAGAAAAGATGAATGTCGCTTACCAACTGGCGAGATAACCAGTTGTCCCTACATGGCTCCCCATTGGAAAGTCGATGATGAGAAGAAGAACTACTGCAAAAACAAAACAGTACTTCCTGTCACACCAACACCCGCAGTACCTTGCAAACCTTCCCCTGTTTGCGATATAATTTTGAGCGAGTAAGTTGGAAAATTGTCCTAATGTATGCTTTCCTGCTTAGATAATATAATAAACGTATCCTATGGAAGGAGAAGGGGAAATAAAGTCTGATGCACAACTTTCTCAGGGTCAACTCTACTGAATAGAGTGGGCTGTAGTTCTGAGCCAACATGCATAGGATTTCTCTGTACAAGAGCACAGCTATATAAAAGGCCCTTTAGCTCAAGTTCTAGACAGCCCTACCTCTTACTATAAAGGTCTGCGGGGCGGAGGGTGTCTTAACACATCTAGCTTCACATTTCTTCAAGCCTGCATATCAAACCCACAAATTCACTGAAAAAAATCAATTTACAGTTATAATAGGCTAGCCATATTTCAAAAAGTGAAATACAATACAAACGTTGTTGACCAAATCCGAGCTATATCCGGGAAATTCCGGATGTATGGCAACCCTAGGTTATAATATTCTTGTTGCTGTTATTGGAAATTTGGCTTGTGAAACTTTGTTTGAAAGTTAGTTTGCGACAACCCTTTTTTTTAAAGGCTTCTGGGAGACCTTTGATGCAATCAACTCATTTGCTGTGCATTTAAAGCAGACTTGTTTTGCACCATACCACATCTTTCTTCCAGAAAGCTACAATTCTGTTGTGAATATAACTGAAATTAGTGAAAGCTGAATTTCATGTGCGTGAAATTCTATACCATGATGAACATTCAGTCCTGAGAAACCTTTTTTAAAAAATCCTGTTTTCCAGCTCTTCAAATCCCAGAAGTGAAAATAGTCATATTCAAAAATGTATGTTCATGTCAAGTGTTTATGATATCTTTTACGGAGTCTTCCCTGATTATCATGTCTTTGTGATTTTTTTTTTACAGAGTCTTCTCTGATTGCCATCAAATCATACCTCCAAAGCCCTTCCACCAAGGTTGCTCCTTTGATTCTTGCCACATAGTCAATACCACCATGCAGTGTTCAGGCTTAGAGATATATGCTTCACTCTGTGCCTCTAAAGGTGTTTGCATTGACTGGAGAGCGAAGACTAATGGTTCATGCCGTAAGTACTGGAGTGTTAATCAATCCCACAGTTTCTCCACAAATTATACAGCCATGGGAGCCTTGTTCATTAAATACTTTGCATGTGTCAGTTTTATTTTTGTAAATAGATCCATCTTAGGGAATTGTAGTTTAATGACTAAAATACAGAAAGATGAGAGGACATTCTCAGCCTTTGAGAACCTCTTCAGCTATACATTTACTGCGGCTTTAAGAGGGCAGATGTCCAAATGAGATCAAGAGTCTGGGCCCTTCTGGTTCATTTAAGTATAGTGTTCTGTCTTTAGGATCACAGGAATGTGCCATCATGTTCACAGGAAGCATATCTAATAAAAACAATTATATGAATAGAAGCAGAATATATGGCAACTAAACATGTTGAAATGTGGCTAGAATTTTAGGGTGTTGGTTTCTGTTTGCTTCTTTTTAACAAAGAGACCCTTCCATGCCATTAACTACCAGTAAAAGGAGAGAAAGAGTGTGGGGAAAGTCATACTGTAGCTGCAGTAGCTGTAAATGTAAAGTGTATCAAAGTATGTCTTTATGTTCACATTGGTTTATTTTTCTTACCATGTTTAGCATACAGCTGTCCTGAAGGCAAAGTATATGACCCATGTGGCCCTATCAACCCTCCCACATGTGATAATAGGTAAGGAAAGAATGGAATCTCTGTTTAGGTCTGTTTCACTCCAGTTGTTGGAGCCAGTGTTATGTAGTCAATAGCATGCTGGATTTGAACTCAGTTCAGAGTCATCACGCTCTTAACAGTGCTGATGATTCAAGGCACAGGCTGAATTTTCACAATGCAAAAGGGTGCTGTATGACTGTAACCCATGCTTTCTTTCTGCAGCAGGGCTAGTCAGCATAATGGCACTGGCATAGTTGAAGGTTGCTTCTGTGCTCCTGGAACCAAGCTCTTCAACTCCTACAATGATATCTGTGTAGAACAATGTGGTAAGTGTTTTTATTTCAAGGACAGCAGAGGGTACCATACTGCAGCAACACTATATGGAGTGGAGGGTTCCTCAGCTGCAATTCAGGTCAGCCTAATCTAGGTAGCCTCAGCAGGGAGACAGAAGCACCCTTAGAAACCCAAGAGAAAGTGATTTCCAGAAACATCAGGGGTAACTCAATAAGCAGTAATAATCACTCAAGAGAATGCTATGTGATCAGTGGTCACCTTGCACGAGTTTCAGAAGGAAATAGAGTCTTGATACAATGAGGAATTTTCATGTATCCTTCAAACATGACATCCCTGGCTACTGCAGATACAACTTTCATGCCCACAACTTCCAGAGGGATAGTCATGTTAGTCTGTTGCAACAAAAATAGCCGAAGAGTCTTGCAGCAGCTTAAATAATTATAAATAACAGGCAGGATTCAACGAATGAGACATGCTAGCAGAAGCCTGCGCAAGGTCTTCCACCAATGCAGCAGGGCATTCCCTGTTTCTCCTCCCTCCATGCAACCCTGCATCTGGCTCTGAAGGAGTCAAGAAATGCTTGTGCTGACTTAACTAGCACTATGTTGAACTCCTCCCACAGAGTTGTTTAGTCTTTAAGGCACCACAAGAACTTTTGTTGTTCTTTCTGGTACAGTTCAGTCTCGGCAGCACCTCACAGTCCCAGCACCTTTTCACTGCCCTTTGACCCAGAGAACAATGTCAGATGGCGCTGTGGCCTGTTTGCTCAGATAGCTACATTTGCTCCAGGACTCTTTAGGAACAGCAGTGCAAAAAATCTCTGTTATTACATTTCTTTCAGGTTGTACTGGACCAGACGGAATGCCCAAAGAGGTAACTAAAAATATGTACTTCATGAAATGTGGATGGGTCACCTCAGAAGGTGTTGGGAGCAGAGGCCAATTCAGGGCAGCACAACTGGTTCCCCTGTGCTGGGTGCCAAGCCTAGGGGGCGCTACAACTATGATGTGGTGAATTGAGTAGAACAGAAGGTGAGGGGTCTCACCCAGTACAGAGTGCCTCTTTTAAGATGCATCTATGGTCCCCCCCCCCCCGATTGTACAGTAATTATTATGGCTTTAATCAGCCGATTAATTGGAGGCACCCTTTTTGTAAAAAAATAATTGAGTAAGTAATTAAACTGATTATTCAGCTAAGTATTTACAGCCTTGATATATGTTGATGGCACTCTTTCTGACATGATCTCTGACAAGGCAAATTTAGGGATGATGTATCTTATTTTCTTTTAAATACAATTTTTAAAATTATTTTTTTGCAGCCTGGAGCAAGCTGGATCAGCAACTGCCGGGAGTGTACTTGTGAAAAATATACTCTTAAAGTGCAGTGTACACCAAAGATATGTGCAACACCTGTCCCAGAACGCTGTGAATTTGAAGGCTTTGTGCCTGTCAGTGTCACAACACCTGAAGATAAATGCTGTCCTCAGATGAAATGTGGTAAGTATAATCTCTTGCCTGTTTGAAACAAATACCGTATTTTTTGTACCACAACACTCACTTTTTTCCTCCTAGAAAGTAAGGGGAAATGTCTGTGCGTGTTATGGAGCGAATGCCTGCGGGTGGCGGGGGGAATCTGCTGCAGTCGTGAGCAGAGGATCCATGGTTCCCCTTCCTTCCGTCCTCCGTGGTTACAAAGCATGGATCCACATGGATCATCAGGATTTTTGCATTGGGCTACTCCAAACTCACTGTCAGATCACATGACTGTGGCCACAGCATGAACCACAAAAATCATATATCCACTATTTCGTTTAGAATATTTTTTTTTCTTGTTTTCCTCCTCTAAAAACTACGTGCGTGTTATGGTCTGGTGCGTGTTATAGAGCGAAAAATACGGTATATCATGCTTCAAACCGGTGCTGCATGAGCGGAAGACAGCTCACACGACCGATCTTCCCCTTCCCTTCCTTTCTACCTCCTGCATCCTCCTAAAAAGCCTTTTTCCAGGGCTGATGGTGGGGGGACTGCTAAATACTATGGGCAATGTTATCTGAGTGAGAGGGTGGAAATGCCCAGAATCAGTTGGAGAAATCTTGTACCAATGTTAGTTTTCTCTGCCCATTTTTGGGTGATTCTTTCCTCCTACTGAAACTGCAAATGACATAATCTTCTTTATACATACATACATACATACATACATACATACATACCCTGTCCTTTCCCCTGGTGAGTTTCAAGGTGACTACCCCACATATCCCATGCTGTCTAGTAGAAGAGGCTATCACTTCTCAGCCTGTTGGCTTAAGAGGCTTGTGTGGGTACGGGGGATTGAAGAGGGAAGAGGCAAAAGGGAAAGGTCCATTATGCTTAATTTCCTTCTGCTTCTGCAATATCGGATGCAATCCATTGTGAATAGCTCAAAGCAACCACTTCCAAATGGGTACCTTTTCCACTTAGGTAAATTCCCATTAGTTACACCACAGGAGGTCTTACAATTGGACTGAAGCCCTGTGCCACAAATCATGTGGCATAGTGGTTAATCTATTCATACGACATGAGTGCTGGTGGGCAGAGTTGGGCAACCTGTGGCCCTCCAGCTGTTATTAGACTGCATCTCCATTGGCCACAGGGGCTAGGGGTTGGAGCCTGAAAACATCCTGTAGAGATTCACACCTCTTCTTCAGACATTCTTGTTCTTGTTATAATGGAAGCAGATGTTTCTCTGGACATAACTGGAGTGTTGAAAAATGTCCTGTATGTTCTTGTTATAATGAAAATATCCTGACATTCTTTTATGGCTTTTTCTTTTTTTGTGTGTGTCTTATATAGTATGCAACACTAGTTACTGTCCTGAATCCGTTGAGACCTGTCCAGTAGGATATGAATTAAAACAACAAAAGCTGCCAGGAGATTGCTGCATTAAAGCCACTTGTGGTAAGAACTGAAACATGACATTTCTCAGGAGTATTTGAAACTTCTCTCCCCTCCCCCTTCCCTCTCTCTTCCTCTCTCTCTACAACTCCCCACCCTCCAGATGAGTCATATTCCATCCCCACCTCCCATGCTATGAGCTGGCATTCCAGTGGCCATTTTGCCTCTTCAACTGTTTTTATTTCCTGTTGCAAGAATCCTGAAATTGTTCTGAAGAAGCAAATACTTAATTTGTTATATATCTCATATCTGCTGAGAAGCTGGTCAATTAAGCTGCTGCTGGCAAGTCCCAGTTTTGTTGGGGCTTCTTTTGCAATAGGGGTATTTTGTAAGATTTTCTTTTGGGAGAGGATATTTTGTAACACATGCACACACATTTCTGCAAACCTGCATAAGGTAGGGTTTGCAGAACCTCAAGCTGAATCCTTACTGCTTGTGTACTTGATCCTGGCATGGTTACTAGGAGTAGACATTAGGGTGGATCCATCCACTTCCTGCCCACATCACTTTCACATGTGTGTACCCATAAACCCATACCATCCCATTTCCATGCTGACCTGCATTTTCAGATGAAATCACCATGAATGTTCAAATTTAAATACCTGTTTACATTTACTAAACAAATTTTCTCCCAAACCATATATTATTTAGGATATATATTTCTCTCAAAATATGTATTTAAATGTATCTTTTGAAATATTCAAATTACTGAGAACTGCATTGTGGCTTTCAGTGAAGTTTGAAATCTGGTGGATAGTTAAATTCTGATCTGTGCATTAGTATGAGTGGTGCACATCAGGTTAGTTTGTATTGGACTTCCTAAAAGACTGAATTCCTCAAACAACTCTACTGGAAGAACCCATTGCACACTCATCAAGAAACCATTTGAATCACAGCTACATTGGTACTTCCTTGTTTGCCTTCAAAGGTTCTGGACACACTATATATCCTGGTAACATTAGTTTACCTCTCACAGAGCTACAATTCCCAGAATCCTTGGCAAATTACCATTTCCAGAATTATTTGAGCCTGTGGCTGAGAATGTGTTTTACATGCATTTAAAATGCATACTCTGTAGCATACACAGCAATATTCCATTCTTATCACTGAAAAGAAAATTTTAAGATTCATTCCATTGCACCTTTCTGTTTTACAGTGAAAATACCCGGCTGTATTGACAAAGACGTATTCTACAAAGTAAGTACATTTTATAATAATGAATGCTAGAAGCAATAATTTGTTTGTTTGTTTGGTAAATGTATAAATCACTTGCTCACAAAAACAGTCCACGTCTGCATAAAGCAAAACTAGATTACACAAACCAATAAAAAAAGAAATATACATAAAGCATTATTTTAAAAATAAAATAAAATTATTTATTAAGAAAATGATCTGCACAAAAATGACTGATGCCATAGGCACTGTGGGCCCCCTCGGTGTCTTTTTGTTGTTGAGGGGGCCGGGCCCCCATATTGGTGGAGTTGGGCATGAAACAATGTCGGCATGTTGTGTGATGTTGTGCTCGCAATATCAGGACATTGCATCTTTGCCCTCAACGTGCTTCAGAAGATGGTGCCTCTGATTGCTGCGGATTAATAGTGAGTGTGTTTAGCCCTCCATGAAAAGCTTTTAGAAGTTATGATGTTACTGGAAAAACCCTGCATATCTTCCTTTGATTCAAACTATGAATTATAAGCTTTCGCAGTAGAAATACTTTAGCATCCAAGAGAATTCTCAGTGTATCCTGCATTAAGGTGCAGAATCCCCCCCCCTTAAATAAGTTGCCTATCAGTTCAGATCAAAAGGAAGGGACTAGAAACCCTACATTTCTTTTTCATCCCAGATTAACAATTCCAAATCCAGTCCACAACCCATAGATAAATATACCCCTTTCATGGAAACATTTATGCATCCCGGTAGAAAGAAAAAACCACCTTGGTTCATAAGTTGAAAAGGGGCCTGCTGGTTGCTGGGGTTCTTTCAAAGAATCCTGAGCTAGATGAAGCAAGACAATCCACACATTTTCAAGCATTCTTAGAATTAAATGATCTTGTAAATGAGTATATACTTAAGATTAAATGAAGAAGCTGCATCCAATTGGTGATCCTTCACTGACAGAAAGCTCTATGATCCAGTGGGTGCGTCTGTCAGCAGAACAGAAAGAAAAGCAAATTACAGTTTTTACCCCTCCTAGTGTGTCACTTGCCCCCCTCCCAAGCCCCAAATATGCTTCAGAGTGTTGGGGAACCCCAGAGAACAACATGGCAGGTGGTGCAGGAAGCTATAGCAGGAGAGAGAATCACTGAATCACTTCCGTGCTCATGACACTTATGGAAGCCTATGCTGGGTCAATGGGCTTTCTGTTGGTGGAGGAAGACCAGTTGCATACATTTGTGATATTTCTGATTTATGAAAACAGTTTAGAATTATTTAGGACCATTTCTCCTCTGCCCTTCTTTAGCCTGGAGCAGTTGTTCCAAGAGGCCTCTGTGAAACGTGCAGATGTTCTGTTGAGCAAGATCCAGAAAGCCAAATAAACACGGTGGAATGTGTGTCACAAGCATGTGACAAAAACTGCCCAGTGGTAAGTTAGTGTTACAAACTGTTTTTGTAAATTGCCAGCTTTTCAGGAATTTATCTGCAAACCTAGCTATTTCACCTCCTTGATCTTATGAATCTCTTTCCATATTTTCTCAAATACAGGCCCAAGAATACAAGGAAATCCCTGGACAATGCTGTGGTAAATGCTCAGCGGTAGCATGTGTTATAAAAGAGGGATCCAGTGTTCAGGTTATCAAGGTAGCTGATGTTTTATGAATACCCATACATGCAATCTCATGTTCTGTCATACTTGTGTTTCTCATGCTTGGAGTGGAAGCTTACTAGAGGCCATGAATGATATTAACTGAAGCAATAATGAATAGATCTGCATTTAAATTCCCATAGTTATCTTTTCCTACCATTGCCTTTTTCTGCTCCATTGGATGTTTTGAGTGCAAATCTTTAGTATAAATCTTTTTGGCTTGTGAAACTTTGTGCTATATAAAAATAGTAAAAAGGGAGAAAAAAGAAGCTGCCCTATCAGATGGTTGGCCCATATAGCCAATGTTGCGTTGACTCCCCACATTCTGTGAAGGAGATACCAATGCCTTATTTTAATTTGAAGTGTAGTTTTTATTGTAGCTTTATTAATGAATATAGCCTAGTGTTGCCTAGTCTGATTAGAAAGGACTCTCCTAAATCTTAGACTTGCAACTTGAAATCCCTGAGAGGTGCCAGCAATAGAACCTGGAGCCTTCTACTGCCTTCTACTGAGTCTGACCATTGGTCTGTCTAGCTCAGAACTGTCTAAACTCACTGGCTCTCCAGAATTTCTTTTCCTTTTTCGGTACCACTCAGCCTATGTTCTCTCCCAACCTTCTTAAGGGGAAAACCCCCAAATTTTCAAGCAGGGCTCTCCCTCAGCCCTACTTGGAGATGCATGGGATTGAGTCTGTGGCTGAAGCTCTGCCACTGACCTACCACCCTCCCCATAAAGTGTGGGAAGCATGTGGTCATCCACCACTTGAACCCATCCCACTCCAGAGAGAATGCTTGAAAGTAAGATGCCACATGTGACCAAGCTATGCCTTCAGATATTTGATCACACAATCTGTTTCTCTTGACAGAACGCAGTCATGAGTATCTGGGGGCAGAATTCTGACTCCACGTGCCTGAGCTAAAGGGTTTATATATGGTCAAATCCTTGTGTCAGGGAGGCCAATGAAGTCACATTTAGCAAAGTGATGCCAAACTGTTTCACAGTGCAGTTTGTCATGAAGATAGGCATGGAGAGAGAGAGAATGTGTGTATTTGTGCATTTGAGACAACCAGAGACCATGAAGCAATGAAAGAAGGCACTCAATTGTATCAACAAATCCACATGGGGTTTCTTCCTTCCTTCATCTGTGTAATATGCACAATGATGAAAACAGATGGCAAAAGCAGAGGACATGTTGTGTTAGAGTTTGACTCAGTAGAGCTGAGTGGAGGCAAGCAAACCTAGCTGTGAATATGAAAGCTATATTCTTTCCCACATAGTTTTCATAATGACCTTTCCTTATTATAGTAAATTTATCATAAATTTCCTTTGCTTTTTTACCCTATCTGTATTATCTTAGTGATACAATCAAAGCCCTTTGAAGGACATAAAAATCACGTGTCAGCTTCTAATAACATAACTATAACTCTGACTTTTTTCAGCCTGGGGAGATTTGGCATCATCCAGGAAACAACTGCACAACTTATGAATGTGAATTGGTTGAGGACCAGTATATTCCTGTCCCTACCAAAAGACCCTGCGCTCCACTTAACTGCCCACCTGTAAGTTTACCAATAGGATCAAAAGTCTTTGTGTCTGTTAGATTATCTACTCAGTGAGATCAGGGTTTATCTAAGAAAGCTGGATGAGGGTATGTTTTTTTAAAAAAATGCATAAATCATATGGGTTTGTTTAGGTATTTTGGAATTATTATGATAGGCAAGGGTCCTAAACCAAGCCTAAATTAACAGAGTCAGACTTGGGCCCTTATCAAGTTCCTGTTCATATATCTCTTCAGTTCCCTACTTTATTTAATGCAATCTGATAAGTGTGATTCACTAGATGCTGTAAATGCTAAATGAAATGCTCGTGTAGTTATATAATTGTTGTTTAGGGCTGTATAAATAGTCTAATTTTGGTCCATGTCAGTTTCATATGTATTCTTTAATAAGTGTTTCATCCTGATTCTGTATCAAGTGGATTATTATTGTGGGGAGGGAATTTTTTAAAAAGTGGATTATTATTATTGTTGTTATCATTATCATCATTATTAAACACATGTAAATATGCATTTTCCCCACAAAATATTGTATACATTTCCCCTTAAAATACATACTTTTGTATGCATTTCATAAAAAATATTAATTTTCAATGATACCATAATACAATAATAAAACAAAACTAAAGGAACATAGACAGACTAAGGATAGTAAATAAGATGAAGCAAAATACCAAGCAGGAGAGAGTAGGAGCATTACTACACAGAATTGTATAATAGTTGGCAATGCTGTGTACAGTAAGAAATTTAAGGTATAACTTCTAATAAACAGGTGATGAATTATTCATTGAGAGATTAGTTTACCCCAAATGTGCACATAAACATTTTTGTACATATTCTAACCTGAAATATACATTTTACATGGTCTTTAAGTGCAGAAATGCATCACAATTCAGAAAACTGCAAAAAAAGAATGCTATCTGTGTTCTAATCTTTGCATTAGTGCTTAAAAATGCAGCCCAGTAAAAATCTTCAAGCATCCCAATTACAGTGCTTAAAATTAATAGAAGGTATTAACTGTATTGTGGGAGACAATGTGCTTTGGGGTCTATGGGCCCAAATATTGTTTACCTGCCTTTGTGCACACTTTTCCAGGGAGTCCTGGCAATGGTGAAGGTCTCTCATGGCCACAAAGAAACTGCATTTGTTCAGAGAATAATAATCGTTTAGGTTATCTGTAAATTCATCTAACCCATTTTGGTTTTTCAGGAGAATGTGAGACTGAGTGAAGATGGCTGCTGCAAGGTGTGCGGACCTCCACGTAAGTTATGACAAAATTGTTAAAATAAGCCTGCACACACACAAAAAAACCCCCACAATGTATGAGAGCAGGGGGTGGGCAATCTGTGGCACTAGCTGTGCACATCCTTATTTTCATGTGGTCCATAACTTAATTTCACATGGGTGGCAAGGAGGAGAAAAATAGGGGAAAGGGTTTAAGGGAGAGAGAGAGAATGAAAAGTGTGTTAGAAAGAGAGGGAAAGCTGTGCCCCTCCCTTACCTTTGTCTCAAGCCCTACCCGCTTTTGACTCTGGCCCACTACCACCAATATGTAGTTCCAACAGATTATGCTTGAGGGGAAAAGGCCCTCTACAAAAAGTTCCACACCCCTGCAGTAGACTGTGCTTTTGCCTATATTTGCTACGGTCAGGCAGGAAGTGAGCCAATAAATTATCTGTGCAGAGAGAAAGTGCTAAGATTTTCCTCTGCACCTTTGCAGCATAGGTGTGAACATCGAGACTAGTACTGTGGAGCGAGAAGTCTTTGTGGTCAAATGTATAGCACAGGCTTCTTTGTCAAAACATGCTAGTGGCATTAGGCTAGATCAGTACAGGAGTTTATCATGTTCTTTCCTCCCATCCTGACATTCCAGTGCATCAAGAAGTGGGTTCTTATTATGATGGACCTACCCAGTGCTATTTTTCTAGAAAAAGAGGTGCCAGAACTCAGCCTGAATGCCTCCCTTGTTCTCTTATAATGGCAATGGTGCCCACCTGAGAGGTGCGAGAACTGAGTTCCAGTGAGTTCTGGCTAGAAAAAAAGCCCTGGACCTACAATTCATTTTTCCTTGCCAGTTTCGACAGTTTGCACATGTGCACTCACACACCACCTTACCCTACTCAGTCTTCTGTTAGGCAGTATTTGTGGGCACACAGTTATGATGGTTTTTGTTTTTGGTTGTTCTCCCCTCTCACAGCGGGAGATTGTATTCCAAAGAACATCACAAGTCTCATCAGACATAATGGATGTGAAGCTACTGAACCTGTCGAATTACGGTACTGCGAAGGCCACTGTGGCAGTTCTTCAATGTAAGTAGAAAAGTGGGCATTGCTGCCTCCCCCGGGGAACTCTAAAACTCTAAAACCCAATAAATAGTCCAGGGGTCATTCAGTTGAAGTCCAGGTTAGCAAGACATGGAAAATTGTGCTGGGAAGCAGAACACTTCATTTTTGAGCTCAATTATGTACTCATTTGACAGGTGACATCAGGCAATTCACTTTCTTGTCAAAACAACAACAACAACAACAACAAAAACTACTGTAAATACTATCTGGATAGACCTAGAGAACTATATAGAATCTTTGGAATCACTATATCCTACTGCAGTGTTTATCATTGCAGGGGATTTTAACGCACATATGGGACTAAACGATGTAAATTTGTACACCCATTACAATCAGATTCTGGAACCAGATATTTTCTTAGCCAGAGGTACCTCCCGTCTGTCTAAAGATCATAGATGTAATTATTCAGAGCTTTGATTAGCCCATGTTGTAAGGCAGAGGGACTTGTTAATATTAAATGATATGATAGAGGGAGATTGGCCCAGGAAATATACCCACTTTTCAAAGCATGGAGGCAGTGTGATAGATTATATTGTGATCTTACCATTTGTATATAAGTTTGTTGTGGAGTTTGAGGTGGGCCATTATATTGAGAGTGATTGTTTACTCAAACAATGGTACTTGTAGGCCCAGTATTAAAAAATTCTTCCCCAAAAACTCAATTTATCTCTAATGCAAACTTAGGTGTGACAGCAGGCAATAGAATTAAGTGGACACCAGTACTCAATCTATTCTAAATGAACCATGTCAGACTGATTGTTTCCAATACAAACAAAAGCAGAATGATGGCACTGCGGGTTGGTGTGAGTGGTGGACTTGATTCTGCAGCAGCTAAAGCCTTCTTTGTTTTCTCTTAGATACTCTTCTGAGGCTAACACATTGGATCACACATGTGCATGCTGTAAGGAAAGCAAAACCAGCAAGAGGCAAGTGACACTGATGTGCCCTGATCGCTCCACCATTGAATATTCATACATCCATGTTGACTCATGTGAGTGTATGAGCAATCAATGTGATGTGAAGCCCAGCCCAACACCAGGAGAGCAAGAACAGCAGCAGCAGCAGGAAGAACAGCAGCAACAGCAGCAGCAGGAAGAGCAGCAGCAGCAACAACAACAAGAAGAAGAACAGCAGCTTGGCCAGAAATAAAAACAGGAGCCAGGACTGACCTAGACATTTTTTAAATGACCAACACCAATAATTAACAGAAGATAAATTAAAATGAATCTTGCTGTTTTGAAATAAAAAGTATCCAAGGCAGCAACTTGAACATACAGATGAATTTCTCTTCTTCTAAATCTACTCTTGGCAGAAAAGTATTTTCTTTTCTTTGGGGTGCCAAACAATTAGAAATTCTAGGTGACACTTTTCTTGGGGCAAGGCCTTTGTGAGACTACACTGTGCAGTTACAAATAACTTGGAGAGGAAAGTATTTGGCATGATAAAAGGTTAGGGTGGGAGACAAAAAACGGATTTTAGCTTGAACTCTTGTGAAGTTATGATGCCAATATTAGCAAAGCATTGGTACAGACACTGGCATTTCTAATACACCCAGAAGCATTTCCTCCACCAAGTAGCACAAGCCAGCCATAACTTTGGAGCAGAAAGAGCTACTCATAGTGTCCAGTTCCATTACAGTTCCATTGGTCAACATGGTCTGTTCTCTATCACCTTTGCAAAAGTTAGATCTCACTTTCATAACTTGGTCAGCCTTTTTTGTGTTTTTTCCCCAAGTTCCTTTTTCTACAAACTTCAACCTCTCAAAGGCTGTGGGGCTATAATACTCAGATATTATTTGTAGATCTATTTTTGTACAAAAAAAACTCCCCATGAAGTATGGCTGCTGCTGAAGAAGACTGTTTACATGATATCATCAGCATATTAATTGTATGAAGATCTGGATTTTTTAAAATATAAATGTTTACAAAATGGACATAAGATATATAGATATATTTGCCGAATTGTCATATGAAGAACTTTTTAAACCAAAGTAGTAAATATCAATAATATAAATTCTGTTCTAGGACAATGAATTATTTTTTAACGTTGTACCATTACTATTTATTTGTTTCTGGAAAATAGACTATTTTCTTCTGTATTAGCACCATCTGTCAAATGATGCCTGGTTGAGGGATATCTTTACCTTTTGCTGTTTTTATTTGTTTCTTAAAGAGAACAGTTTCAATGATTAATAAAATTTTAGCATTTTGCACCTGTTGTGTCATTCAGTTTATTTTTTTACTACTCTGATCTGCCTTTGTGATGTACACCAATTCAATGTGTCATTCAGTTTGACCAGCAGCCACTGTTTTCCCTCAGAAGTATAATGACCACAATCCTGGCATAGCAGTACACGTGATCACAATTCTGCCATAGCTGTTATGCCAGACCCCCATAGCTCAGATGTCAACTGGACCAGTTCGCATATTGGTCACTGCTCACCCAAATATAGCAATTTAAAAGCCACTGCATTAAAAAAAAGACTACACCAAAACAACTAAAGATCTTTGTGAACTGATGAAGCTTGCATCTTATACTGAAAGTTAAGAAGTTTATTTGGAGTACATACTGTCTGCTGCTGAGTTCTTGCTGATTTCCAAACATTCTGTTTATTGAGCATCCATCCTGATTTGCTTGCACAAAGTTCTCATGGAGTTTATGCAGCATTAGCATTCATTCTCATTTGTTTCTGTGGAGGTTATGAAGCATCCCAGCAAGCCATTATTATCGCACAGTTTCCAAAGCATTTTCCTTTCACTTTCCTTACTGCAAAAAGACCAAGATTTTTGGGAAGCGGAATTGATGTGAAATAGTGCCAAATCCAGTATGTGATTTAATTCTACCTGTGAAACAGTGACAGCCTTGATGTGTCCTTAGTCACAAGCAAGGTGTCTCGGGTTTAGGCAACACAGACCAGATGTCAATCCAGATACAGCTGTAGGAAGAAATGCATTAAATGTTTTAAATGTACTTTCAGAGTTGGTTGCATTATCGACAACTATATGAAACACATAAAGAAGACAGCAAGAAAGCATTTAGTTATACTAGATCTAGGTTTCAAACGGAAGTGATTGAAGGGAAAGTGAAACTACTGAAGGCTGCATACAGCATACTATTAGAATGGGAGACGAAAGATGAAGAGGTAAAATCAGTTATGATTAAATGGGCACAAGATGTAGGTCACAACATTATGATGGAAGATTGGGTTAAATTATGGAAAACTGACTTAAAATTTACAGATTGTTCCCTATTGAAGGAGAATTACATAAAGATGATGTACAGGTGGTACATAACACCAGTGCAGTTAGGGGAAATGTACAAAACTAGTTCAAATATATGCTGGAAGTGTAAGGAAAAGGAGGGGACATTTTATCATATGTGGTGGGATTGTAAGGTAATTAAAAAAATTTGGGAAATGATATACAACGAATTGAAGAAAATGTTCCATTTAACATTTGTTAAAAAACCCGAAGCATTTTTGTTGGGGATTGTAGGGAAAGACCTGCCAAAAAAGTTGAAAAACATCTTCATGTATGCGACAACGGCCGTGAGAGTTCTGGTAGCACATAGATGGAAGACTGAAGAAACCCCAACTAAAGAATCATGGCAAGAAAAATTGATGGACTATGCAGAACTGGCAAAACTGACATATAAGCTATGGGACAAGGATAACTGTGACTTTAAGGATGAATGGGAACCCTTTACAAAGTATCTGAAGACGCAACAAAGCAAACTGGACTCCTTGTCAGGTTTTGAGTAAACATTCACAAACTTTTTATTGATAATAATCAGCTAAATAGTTTGAGTATCTATACAACTTTGTAACATGCAGAAAACAGCATTCTTAGAGAAACCAAAGACTGGAACTGAGGGGAGTCGGGGGGTGGGGTGGGGGTGGGTGGGTTTGGGGGGGGGAGGAAAAATGGGGGGGAAACAAGGATGATATGTTTTTGGATAATATGTCTTGTTATAATTTTGAATATTTTTTTTAAAAAAAGTTTTAAATGTACAATTTGTTTTTAACAAACAGCTCTTGAGCTGTTCTGGTGAAAGGAGTTAGCAATACTGTTAGTGCATTGTACATATCAAGCAAAAAATTTCCAAAAGATGTTTCCATCACATGCCGGTGGAAGGGCACTAGAGGGCAGTGCATACACAATTTACCACAGTGTCACATTTCAAAAAGAATTGTCTGAAAGTGGACCGCTTTATGATTCAATTATATATTAAACTTAATAAACCAAAGTCTGATAGAAAAGGTCTATTCCAGGCAGCACATATATCTTCTCAGTGTAATCCTTGGTACTGAACAGCCATTTGAGGGAGATCAGCAAAAAAACAGGGCCAAGATTTCAAAACCAATGGTTTACTAGGCAAAATAATTATATTCTAAATAGACATAATCTCATTACACTAGCAGATACCCAGAACAACTCAATTATTGCCAAAGAAATTGATTTAACAGTAGTTCTAAATTGTGTTCCACATTGTAGCTGGTGTTGTGCAATGGTTGCAGTTTGGATTAGGAGCTGGGAGACCTGGGTTCAAATTCCCACTCAGTCATGAAGCTGGGTGACCTTAGACCAGCCACTATCTCTCAACCCAACCCAACCCAACCCAACTCACAAGGTTATGATGATAAAATGGGGGCAGGGAAAGCTGTAGAGGCTACTTTGACTTTTTTGGCAAAAAGGATGTATGTGAATGTAGTGGGATAAACACTTTGTTTTTAAGCCACATTGGTCTTGTGACTGAGCACAACTGAATCACATGCTCAAGGCTTTTGCATAAAGATTCTGCAGCTACCCATGATGTCTCATAAGCTGTGTATTCATTTTTACAGATAGGTATCTGAAATAGGCAGCAGCTCTCTGAATATTATCTGATTCCTCTTTGTGGAGGGAGAACCAACTTAATCATGGAAGTTTTAGTTCAAGTAGCACAATGGTATATGCAACAACTATGATTTACCTGTCAGCTTACTATTAACCAATTGTACTTATGCAGAACAAACACTAGAAGGCCAAACATTACATATTATTATGGGCATGTAGATACCTATTTCCTGACACACTATGTGGATTGGAGTGAATTCATTTTTTTAAAAAAAGAAAAGTTTGTGCTCTGGTTACACTGGTACATTGGGGAGATGCAGGGGAACAGACAGACAGTGAACCAATGGATTCAAGATATAAGAAAGGAGGTTCCAACTTAACATCAGGAAGAACTTTCTGTTCAACACAGGAACAGACTCACTCAGGAGGCTGTGAACTCTCCTTCCTTGGAGGTTTTTAAGCAGAGGTTGGATGGCCACCTGTCATGGATGCCGTAGTTGAAATTCCTGCACTGCAGGGGGTTGGACTAGATGACCCTTGGTGCCCCTTCCAACTCTACAATTCATTGATTCTATGTGTGAGGCAACTAGTGGTAGTTTATTGCTTGCCTGTGCAGAACCCACTCCCCTTCCACACAAACACACACACACCAGCAGCACTCCTCTCCACCAGCATAGGACAACAGAGAGGTAATTGTACATCATCTTACCCCACTCATCCAGCCATCGAGGGATAAGGTTGTCCTGTAACATTCGTTATATGTAGCCTTACTCTGTTTTTGGCCTAGATTTTCTATAAAATGGAGAAGCCATCTACAAAGAAAAAAACACACTCTCTGCAAAATAAGGAAAGTGTGGGTTGATAGTACTCTATTCTCAGGAAATTAAGACAGTTAAAACCATGTGTCATGTTGCTTTTCTTTGGAAAAGAAACAAACAGTGTGGAGCATAATCCTATGCACATTTACTCAGAAGTAAGCCCCACTGGGAGCTTACTCTCAAGGAAATGCTTGCAGCCCCAATTTATTTTATTATTATCATTTCAATAACAAGTAACACAACTCATAAGGTATTATTAAGGCTAGGGAAAGGAAGCAAAAATAATAACAAAAAATAACAATGGGAAAAAGCTCATTTTCTTTGGTTTCTGGAATGAGAAATATAATAATAAGGTTGATTTATAGTCCTTGCTGCTTTAAAATCCCATTGGGAGAACAGGATGCTGGACTAGAAGGGCCACTGGCTTTCTTATATGAGTGAACTCTCCTTCCAAAAGTGCAGATCAGCACTGACAAAACTAGACAGTTGTTGATCACTGCTGGCAACATTAAGATGAACACTGCCATCAAATGCACAGTCACCTGACAAGTTAACATCAGGACACGGACACAGAGCATTTCTAAGACTTGGAATGTATGAGTATGCAATATATATATATATTTGTTGGCCTTTCAAAAGGGAATATCTCCCCGAGGTGGCAATAGTACCATGAGCACTGGCACTGTCGTGCTTTAACTTACCATTCCAGTATTGCACAATAAAACCACCTGTTTCCTTTTTATGGTGTTGCAATTTGTTTGCTTTAGCAATCAGTTTAAAAGCTACTGCTTACCCAAACGATTATTTCTCAGATTTCTTTTCCATGACATTGGAAGACTGTGTGTGACCAGCTCCTGTATCAGTATTTACATCAGTATGAAGTTTCTTGTGACATTTAATATATCTGTCAGAAAACTCATAAAAGATCTTTGTTCTAGCAGCCCAAGAAACTGAAACTATTAGGACAGAAATACCCAATGTAGTGCCCTCCCATCAGCCCCAGCCAGCATGGACAATGGTCATGGATGATGGGAGTTGTAGTCCACAACATCTGGAGGGGGCAATTCCCAGCACCCTTAACAAAGTACAGGTCTCAGGGATTCTTTGGGGGGAAAGCCATGGCTGTTAAAGTTGTTTAAGGGTGCTTTAAATGGATGGTGGAGAAGTGATCCTGGATTAGGAGAAATGAAGGTGTCTACTTCAGGTTAACAACCACCTAAAAGATCATTCCCCTTTCAGACACCCAAGTGATAGCTGCCCCCTGCAGAAGAGAGCTTCCTGCAGATACCACCTTATTGAGAAGTCTGTTTCGTGTGATAGAGAAAATGGTATTTTGTGTGGTAGCAGCTGCCCTTTAGAATTCCCTCCTGTCAGATATTCGGCAACAACTTAGAACCACCTGTAAGTAAGAGATATAACTAATATGAGAGCGAAATATCTGTAAATATAATGAGATTTGACACCACTTGTATTATTGCAGAAAATTATGCTGTGATTTTTTTTAAAAAGGTTGATTAATAATCTGCCTTTTAATAAACTGATCAGTTCATTAATAGATTAAATTTGCACATTACCAAGACTTTAAGAGTCATGCCTTTTTGAGGTATTATTGGTAGTTACTACTAATTAAATGAAAATTGTTGCTAATCTTTGTCAGAAGAAAGGGCCCATTGTGGCAATGTTTTATTTTTATTAGGTATCACAGTTAATGGTCAGAACTACTATAGCTGGAACAACAGATGTGTGCTCTGAATGTTCACCCCCCACCCATTAAAATTTGACTTTGCCAGTTAATTGCCTCCCGTTTTTAATTAAACTTTATTATTTAATTAAACTTTATTATTTCGTGCTATTGGTACGTCAAAAAAAATCAACAACATCAATATTTAAAGAATCGACCAATTAGACCAATTAAAAATTGAAACCCTAGTTAAAATAACCCTGAATTACCTTCCCCAAGGATATCACATTGCTTACAATTATAGGACAGCAGTGCCATGTAGCCATCCAAAACCTATTCCCTGGCATCCAGTCCACAATCTATTGCTAGGTACTATGTATTACTTAACAAAAGAGACCATTCATGTAATACAAAGTGCTCAGTTCCAACTTTGTTGTTTCTACCTGTTGCTCTTTTTACTGGGAGGGCTGACAAAAGCAGCTTCATTAGCTGCAAAGTCTTACCGCGATCCTTCTGGAGACTGCCACCCCTCAAATTTTAGGGAGTTTTGCTACTATATTGGCATTGACTCAGTACAGCTCTCCTTTTTCCAGCCGTCTGTCACTAAGAGCTGGTTTACATTGAATATGCTTCCTGTGATACCAGCAGAAGCCGCCATTGTGGCACTGCCCACCTGGCTTCTTAATATTGTGCATTGTGGCCAGTTACAGGGAGTTTGACACAGTGCCGGCGCAGCAGCAGGAGCAGTGGGTTGTCTCTAAGCCCCAGCACCACACTGAGCTGCCTGCTACTTCACCCCTCTTCCTCTTCGTAACTGGCAGTGACTCATAGTGAGAAAGGATGGCTCACCCACACTGCCCCATCAGCCAGTACTATGCATACCCCACAAGTGTCCTGGAAAAAACCGAGGCACCCTGCCCCACCCCCCAGAGAACAACGGTCATTTTGGGCAACGTGATCTCCGTACCCTCCAACATTTCTCCGATGAAAATAGGGACGTATTAAGGAAAAGTGGGACATTCAAGAATCAAATAAAAAACCGGGACGGCTTCTGTAAATCCAGGACTGTCCCTGGAAAATAGGGAGACTTGGAGGGTCTGGATCTCTCGTGATTTTGTGCCAAGATTTTGCCCAGGAAAAAAACAACACACTTTTTTCAGGGCCACAATCTCACATGGTGCACCAGAATGCAAGTTTTGGGACATTGTGAGAGCACAGTGCTGAAAAAAGTGCATCTTCTGGGCTCTGTCACCTAACACGGGGCATACAACTCACACAGGAGCCTGGACAGGAAGATGTGTATCCCTGTTTGGGGACTCAGCATGTTGAAGGGTGTGATATGATTCTACTCCCCAGAGAACCACTGTTGAAAGTGAATTTGTATGATCATTTTTCCCCATGGTATTCTGGCAAAGTTCCAGCCAGATTGAGGTCCTATGAATAGCTCAACATGCCACACAGTTCACTTGTGGCCAAACTGAGAAATTATGTCTGCTCACCATGAAAAAACAGCAGCATAAATCTACCCTCAGTCTGATGAACATAGGAAACTGCCTTATACTTAGTCAGATGCCAGGAATTGAACCTGAGATCTTTTGCATGCAAAACAGATGCTCAGCCACTGAGTTATGGCCCTTGTTTTGAAAAAACAAAACAAATTCTGAGCGGGTGTAGTCTTGAAGGAAAAGGGAAGCATACAAATTCTATGGGAGTTGAGTATCTTGTTGCTATGAAATCCTTTGCAAATCTCAGCAACATGTCAGAATGTGGGTGAAAACCTATTCAGTAATGGAGCAATGGACCAGTGGACCACAATTACCAGTAACAGAGACTGGTCAATTAGAGCAAATAGGGCACTGCTCCACCAACCTCAGTCTGCTCTAACTAGTCCCTCTTGCCTGCCTTCTTACTTACAACCACGCTGACAGCTTCCTCCTCCCTAGTCTCAGTTTTGCCCATGTAGAGCTCAGCAGGGAGGAGGATGCAGACAAAACCAGAATTTGCTGGATCTGCCTGTAGTTAGCCCTGGCTCCACCCACTGTTGATCTCCCTGCCTTTCACCCTACCAGTCCCGGTGGGTACCAGGCACCCCTGGATGACAACTTTATCCTTCCTTTCATTATCTAGAAGCCAAGAGAAACATCAGCTTCTCTTTACGTTGAAATTCTTTAATCAACTTCAGCTTGACTAGGTAGCAGTAAACTGGGCAAACAGAAATCACACAAAAGAAGCAGACAGACCTCCTGCCTCATGCCTACCAGCCTATTTGAGGTGTGGCACTGGCTGCATCACAGTGTGACGTGCTTGTACACTGTGCCATGTTACCAAGGCTGAGTGCGTCAGCCAGGATCCACATGAAATCCTTCTCAAAATACGACTGTCAGGTGAAAAGATGATGAGATGCGCTATGGAAACGAGCTATATGTGGCAACCATGGGCGGAAGAGGAGGGGGAGCAATAAATCAGGCACCGAACTTTATTCCTCACACTTTGGTAGCAGTCAGAGTCCCAGGATGCAAGCAATGTCCCACTGAATGGCAAGATTCATATTAGTTCTTATGGTCCTGTATTTTACCCACTTTTTATTTTTATTTTTAAATTGAGACCATGCCCATGAAATGAAACTTGAAATGCTCACTAACAGAGATTGTGTGATAATGAATTCATTCTTCATGTCATCTTATCCCCCTGCCTTTGCAATAACAGTGTTCCTTTATACAGCATTAATAATTAGTAAAGATTCCTTCTCAGTTGCTGCCTCGTAAGGTCAGATAAGAAAATACTTGCACTTTACAGCTTCTCTGAAGTAGGACCCTCTTTGGTTCTAACCTCTCACTGTGACATAGATGCAGTCACAGTGCTTCACTAGAGACTAGGCTCAGTGGCAGAAGCTGCCTCTATTATGAGTAAGGTGTGTGTCATCATGGTCAGGTCTGACATCGCCAGGAACAGGAGTACAGTGCTTGGTGCACCGGCAGCAAGCCTCAACTGTTCAAAAGTGCTCCTGGCCACTGCTGAAACCTACGCATCTGGGTTCAGGGCTGAATCCAAGAGGTACCCTCAAGTTGCAAATCCGAGTCCTCAAATGGAGTGACTCCCTCTGAAACAGGTTGAACCCCTATTTCCCAATCTGATGTTATTTGTAACCACAAGTCTTTTGGTTTTACTCCTGACTTTTTTGCTTGCTCCAACATTACTGTTTGGTTTATATCAACTATTTCTATATTTATTGCATGCTGCACACAAAAGTCTTCAAGTGACTCACACTTTATCTACAGCACAGATAAAAATAATACATTACAATAAAAACATAAAACGGTTCCTTTAAAAAAAAAGCAGAAAAAGCTTGAGTATGGGTAGTTTTTTTCTGCTTTGATTCCCCCACCCCATTTTGGCTTGAATGTATTTTTAATTTTTGCTTGTTTATTTGTTTGTTATGGTTCACTTAGGAGCTGCCTAGAGTGCCTCTTATTGAGGCAGAAAGGCAAGATAGATTTTTAAAAACAAAAATAAAAAACAAATAAGCACTGTGGAAGGTGAAGGCATGAGGACAGCCTGGGAAAATTCCTATGGAAAAGGCCAGCCCTGCTGCACATTCAAGACTTCTCTTCCCCTCCCATCACATTTCCCCCATATTGATTTTTGAACTTTGAGTTTTATTGTTATTCATGCTTTTATACTGTATGTTATGCTGCTTCTATATCGTATTACAATTAAGTGTTTTAAATTTGTTGTTTTTCATCCTGAGCCCGGTTTTCTGAACCAGGAAGGGTGGGTATAAATAAAAATTTATTATGATGATGATTATTATTATTAACACATGTACAAAAAAGTCGTGCAGGGGGTGGCCTTGAGTGGGCATTTCCCATCAAACTTCTGTATTTTCAAGTATTGTTCCTGGCTGAAGGGCTCCCCAAGCAACTTGCCTTTGATCCCTTCCCTGTCATGATTTCTAGGAAAGATACCTTTCTTCAGGCTTGGCGGGGATCAAGAGAGAAGAATTCCAATTGTAAATGAAATCATTATTTTAGCCACCAGCAATGATCAAGAAATGTCACTTCAAAAGTGTCTCTGAGATACAAGGATGTCAGCACACCGCCTCCAAGATAAATAAAATCTGCCTGCGTGACATTTTATTTTTCACAGCCTTCCCAGCACAGTGATACAGAACAAATTCTTCAAAGAAGGGGAGGATATAAGCAGACTTAGTTTCACACAACTCCACATGAAACAAGGTGCTCTGCACAAATGATTACACTGGGCATTCTTTATGGCAATTATCTTATTATCCACATGCTATATTTTACAGCAAAGTGGAGTTTATGGAAATGCTTTGTTATAGCTTGCCAGGAGTAAAATTACACACTGCCCAATACTAGCAGTTTGCCCTTTGATGATGTCAACATGTAGGCTTCTTCACTGCAGACAACATGTTCACAGAATTATAGAATGGTAGAGCTGAAATAGATCCTTGGGGTCTTCCAGTCCAACTCCCTGAAATGTATGTTCACCTGTGGAGATTAGGATCAGTCATTGTGCCCAATGATAGGGGTGGAGCAAGGAGTGAGGCCTCATCCCCTGGCAACCAGATGATGCCCCCTTCTTGCAAGTAACATGTGCAGGAGGATTGGGCATGGTAGCCCAGGCATTGGAAATCTCCAAATTGGATTACTGCAATGAGCTGTATGTGAGCTTTCCCTTTAAGATTGGTCTGGAAGATGCAGCGAATACAGAATGCCACAGCAAGGCTGTTAAAGGGGTTTTCCTATTGACCATGCGTAACACCTGCATTGAAAGAAGTTCATTGGCTGCTGATATGTTACTGGGCCAAGGTAAAGATCATACTATTGTCATGTGATGTCCTGAAAAACCTGGGACCAGATTACTACCAAGAACACATTACCTTGTATTCCTCTGTCAGGTCTCTTCAACCCTTGAGAGAGTAGAACCATTAAATTCAATGGACTTAAGTAACTTACTTCTTGCCAACAAAGGCAGCCTAATATTTCACTACAAAACTTTTTTGTAGCATACCCTTCCAAATTGTAATCAACAGCAGGCATAATTTTATTTATTCTTTAATACAAAGCAAACTATCTATTAATCGGTCATTTAATATCAGTGAAGTTAATTCAACTACAGTTACCAAAAATGTTGAATAGTTTTGTAACTATTGCTCTATATCCGGGTAGCTAATCCTTTCTTGTGCAAGGAGGAAGTTGGCACATCAATATCTGCTCCCTGTCTTCAGGATGCCAGTCTTCCAAGATCCTCTGACAAAAAGCATTTTTAAAAATATCCGCAATACCAAGCTAACATGCAAAACTGGCACACCTTGGCTGTCATCTGGAATTAGTAAGAGTCCACCTGTATGTAGGGGGCTTGAGACTGATCTCCCCAGGTAACAATTCACAGGTAAACCCTCTGAGTGAATGAGTTGCATCTTCTTATCTTGGCATGGATTCCAGGTTATTTCAAATGCTTGTCCAAGAGAAGGTGTACATACTACTCTGGATTATAGCCGGCAGAAAAACATTCTGTACATGCTATGAACTAAAGCCACAAAATGGATCCTACTGCAGTGAAGTTGATGTAATCCTTGATTTGTTGCATTTAGGCTGAGGTGCACTCATGTAGGGCAGAGATGAGCAATCTGTGACTCTCCAGGTGCTGCTGGACTATAATTCTCATCTTTCATAACCATGCTGTCTCAGGCTGATGGAAGTTGAAGTCCAACAACTTCTGGAGGGCCACAGGTTCCCCACCCCTGACCTGGAGAATCTAGGCATTATTAGCAATGTTACCCTGGAACATTTATCTACACTATTGAATAGCTACCTAATCCTACAAGGCAGAGCAAACAAAGCAACATACATACATGCACACCCATTCCATTCTTTCCCCCTTAATGTGCAAATATTAGCTAATGTGCAAATATGATGCTAACTGAATAGTTACACCCCAAAGAATGTTTCACCAGGCGACAAGGTTCTTCTAAATGCTATATTCTGCCCCCAACACCCAAAAATTATAAATTGCATGTGCATTCCATTAAGACATAATTTTAAGAGGCCATAATTCCAATCTGGAATGATGTTCAGGATACTGTAAACTCAGCTGCAGTATAATGGACATGGGTGGACAAAAGAATTAGAGTTGGATAAAACATTTATTAGTAGTTTCCTCTCCTGCTGTCTCCCCTTCTTTCTGCCTCATGTTGTATTTCAGTAGACATTGGGGATTGGGGAAGGCAAAGTTAGGGAGGACTTTGTTAACCCTTGCAGCATCAAGATGGAGATACTGGTTTTATATAGAATTCTCTTGCCTGTCATCAGCATATTGAACTGTTGATTGCTTTAATGGAATTTCACTAGCAGATCTGAGAACTGAATTTGTGTCACTGTTTATACTGCAAAGTCTTTCATAGCATAGCAAATTATAAAAGAGTCAGTTTGTCAGCATCTTGTTAACAACCCAGTGATTAGTAGAACCCAGCATGGATTTGCCAAGAACAAATTCTGCCAGACTATTCTTATTTCTTTCTTTATTACTAGCTTAGTGGGCTGTTGGAATGCTTTGGACGTAATTTCACTTGATTTCAGCAAACCATTTGAGAACGTTCTCTGTGGTATTTTGGTTAAGGAAACTGGTTAATTGTAGGTTAGAGGATAATTCCATCAGGCAGAGCCACAGCTGATTGGAAAACTGCACTCAACATGATCAGCAGTAAGGAAAAAAGACCTATGAGGAAATGTTGATAGAAATGGCTTAATCTGGAGAAAAGACTATTAAAGGAGGATATGATGGCGCTCTCTAAATACCTGAAGAACTGTCATGTAGAAGAAGGCAAAGATTTACTTTCAGCTGCCCCAGGGAGCATGACTAGTTCCAAGTGACAGGAGGATAGATTTTGTTTCAAGAATAGAAGTTCTAAAGAGTTCCAATTGAAGAATGGAACCAATTGCCTGGGGATGCAGTGGACATCTCTTTTCTGGGGGGTCTACTAGCTCTGGATTTCTGGCACTCAGCAGGGTGGGCAGGCAGGATAGATGGTTTACAAACACCCCTCCTGCTCTATGATTCTATGTCATGGGTAGGCAAACTAAGGCCCAGGGGCGGGATCTGGCCCAAATGCCTTCTAAATCTGGCCCGTGGACGGTCTGGGAATCAGTATGTTTTTACATGAGTAGAATGTGTCCTTTTATTTAAAATGCATCTCTGGGTTATTTGTGGGCCATAGGAATTTGTTCTCCCCCCCCCCCCAAAATATATAGTCCAGGTCTGAGGGACAGTGGACCGGCCCCCTGCTGAAAAAGTTTGCTGACCCCTGTTCTATGTGAACAAACATGAAAATCAAAGTGAAAAAGCAACCCCCCAACAGCTAGGATTATTTGTTCCTGTGGTTTGTAATACAATCACTTCTGGTTATACTAATACAGCAGCATTTATATGCATACACATAAAGAAAGGTTATGGTGAGCAAATATTAGATAGATTAAAGGGTAGTTTATAGTTCCACCCAAAAGCAAAACTTGGTCGCGTGAGATCCTGTTGACATTCTAACAGACTTTGAAAGAAAACAGAAGCATGTTAATACACTGAAAGCCATGGTTGCTCTGTACCTTCTTTCCACTGGAATAATAATGGCATCTCCATTCAAAAGTCCACTCCATAGTTAGCAATGGTTTTATAAGTGTATGCATGTATAACACAGGTCTTTGGGGGCTGTAGTGCTCCAACAATAATATGAGTTCTCTAAAGCTCTATCATTGTGCTACCCATATGTAGTAAGGTAAAGGGGTAAAGAAGGATTGGGGCCACACCATTGGCACCACGCTGACGCTATGTGGCCATCTTAGCTCCAATTCTAATTTTTGGATGTTGAGCATGCACATTTGTAAAGGAACCCCTTCAGACGAGCAGCTGTTCACAAATCGGGGATTCCCTGAGATCAGGACCCAGAAGTTCCTCTTCAAATATCCAGATACAACATACTGTCTTGGCTCCCACCCAAAACATGACAGCAGGTGCATTACATATAAGTAAGGGATACTTATTACAGCAGATTCAGTGGCATGGAAAGAGCCAAATACAGTACAGGGACTCCTACAAGATATAGGGTTGTAAGTCTTGGGGGTCACATATCCTCTTTTCTCTTCTCCCTGAGAGAACGCCGGGAGTGTCTCCACCTCCAAATCCTCCCACTGTGGCACATCAGACCACACCCTGGAGTCATCCCTGCCCCCTGGTGGGGAAGCATCTGCCACAGTCTCTGGCAGTCGCCTCTCCATAGGCATGGAAGAGGAAGCATCTGGGATTCCTTCTTCAACAGTAGAGCTTGGCACGTCCAGAGGTTGGTGGGAGGGAGGTTCTATCAACTGGACTCTACTCTGTTGTCTCATGCCCTCTGCCTCCCATTCTTCAAGTGCATGCTGCTCCTGGTCTGAATCAGAGTACTCCATGGGAATTATGTCATATACAGATGCTGAGGGACATAAGAACATAAGAAGAGCCCGCTGGATCAGGCCAAAATGGCCCATCTAGTCCAGCATCCTGTTCTCATAGTGGCAAGCAGATTCCTATGAGAAACCAGGAAGCAGGATTCAGGTAGAAGAGCACTCTCCTCTCCTGTGGTTTCTAGCAAGTGGTATTCAGAAACATTGCTGCTGCCAACTGAAGTGGCAGATTCAGTCCATCAGGGTAGGGACAGCAAACTGGCCCTGCTGCTTCTGTGTGTGAATGCCCTACATAGAAGTAACTGATGAGCAGGGCCATAGAATTATCCTGTTTTAAAGTCAGCTGTCTAAAGCACCAGCCTTAATAGAATAGAACCTCCATGCTCAGAAGCAGTATACTTCTACATACCAGATGCTGGGGACAAAGAATGAATGTGACCCTTCCTTTCAGGTGCTGACTGTGTGTTTTCTATAGACACTTTGTTGCCCACACTGTTATAAATAGGGTACTGGTTTAGAGATGGACAGGGTTCATCCTGTAACCCTTTTTGACGCCCTCGAGTCTGAAAACAGTGTGTTCATACTGTTTATACACATTAATATTTATAATTAACATAGCATTTTAACTTACTGGGTAGCATTTATTTGTCCCCAAAGCAACCCTGTTAGGGCACTACCATTCCATCTATTGATAAAATAC